GGGGGAAGGGGTGGGGTACAAATACCAGCAGACAAAGAACATGTATGATAGAGTTCTTGTGTCTTTTTTGTGATTTGCAACACGGCCAGGGATGTAACACATCCGATGCAATTAAGTGTGTTTGTTATAAAACACAGTGTCACTTCAAGTACGACGAAAACGTGTTATTTAAATAATGTTATGAATACTTCAGTATAAGTTACTATGACTGTTTCACACTTTTAACATGAATAGTTGGGATCTCACTATTAACGGTAAAGGTTGGCGGCTCCATGAGCTGTACAGCTGAACGGATCTGCACGCACCAGAAGGTAAATGGTGACACTGGCAGTTGTCGGCTAGCTGTAAGAAAACTGGCTTGTAAGATAAGCTCGGTCTTTTTTAAAATGGCTTGTTTACTCTGAAACAGACACAGCTTCCTACAATTAACAACTTGAAACGCCGCTCGGATTCCAACATACATTCGACCAGTTTATTTCTTCTTTTCCATCTCTAATACTCAATCACAATCATCGCTGTTCACTTCCACAAATATTCATTTATTTCTCGTTAACTCCACGTAATTAAAACTACAGAAACGACATCGCGACTATCCTCTTCTAACTCTGGTATACAACTGACCACGAGTCCACCTCGGACTTTTCCTTCCAGCCCCAAGTATCTCGTGCGGTCGTTTGTCGCAAGGATTTTCTGCTTAACTTGCTGTGAGTGTGGAGACCGTGCAATACACATCATCACAACAGCCTTTTAAAGTATTTGAGCCCGTCTCTCTAGCGTAGTTGGCTAAACCGGATTGCGCGGTGAGCGGATGACGAACTCCTTGTGGTCCGGGTTGACTCCCAGGGGTGGGCAGAAAAGCCTCATTTTCTCCCAGATTTACGGTATTTAAAAATGGAATCAAGGCCGAAAGGTTGCGACATCCATAATACCGAGCATAAGGGTTAACAACTCATGGCTTCTGGATACTAAAACAAACAAACAAACATGTTTGAAGTTATAACGCCAGATTAACTGAAATCCCACCCAGCTTCAGTCCCCTGAGCATGCTTAAACTAAAATGACCGTCCTCTGACCGGAAATGACCATGCAGACATCGCAGACCTGTGTCCACTTGTTGTCCACTTGTTGTCCACAGCCGGAAAAGTTCAACTATGACCAGTACCGATACCAGGTGTTTGCCAGGCCACATAATATCGGCCCGCTCGACTACAGCCCAGGTAAGGTCATTCAGTCTACAAGCGTTCCTTTGTTTGAGAATTTAGTGACAACTAGAATGAACAAATCAATCAATGAAGAACTGACAGCACCGCACTCGCGACGTTCCTAGACGTGCTCTGTCTCATTCTGCGGTGCACAATAAAGAATTCCTAAGGGTTCCGATAGCAGAAGGAATTGTACCAGGACAGAGAGGTAGGGGCCGACTAGCACGAAGATGGGCACATGATATAAGTGAAACCTTAGGTAGCAAACTGTACGAGGCAGAAAATCTGGCGAGAGACCGAGTTTCTCTCAGGCGGACCGGGATTAGAGTATCGTTCTGCAAAGGTCCAGCTACAGGTTGATGCTGCGGATGAATCTGCAACAGTGAACCTCAGTGACCCCCAGTGCTGAAGTAGAAGACGAGCAGAATGTCACTGATTGGCCGTTGTTTCAGGCAGCCTTGACCTGTTTCTGTCCCAAGCATCTCACCACGCGTCTACTCGCATACTATGCTTTTGTGAGCTGCCTTGTGCCTCATGCAATCTTAACCCACTTCTACCCCACTTGCTACTTCAGCTCCTGTAGTCCCATAGCAGTATTATTTGGATCCCTTTTTATCTAAACATATATTACTCTAAATGTAATAATGCTCTATCTAGGTTCTATCTGGACCCATCAAAACTCTGATGTTTCCTTGGTAAAGTTGCTATATTTGTGCGAACACCGTAGATGAAGACACGCCCATCGGTAATTACCGATCGATTATTGCTGATACAATTACCGATCGATTATTGATGATACAATTACCGATCGATTATTGCTGATACAATTACCGATCGATTATTGCTGATACAAGAACCGAACAGTACGGTCAGTGTCCTGTATCTTTGGTAGAAATCAATCAATCAGGTGCCGTCTCCACAATGAAGGTTGGCTGCAATGGATCTCCAACAAGCCCTGTCTCTTGCCCTTGATGTACACTCACTCATACTGCTGTTCGTCCATCTCTTGATGTTATCCTCCCACTTGTAACGATGTCTGCCTTTTGCTCGCCTACCTTGAACCTGTCCCTCTAGGATGATCTTTACAATACTGTTATGTCTTTTAATGTGGCCAAAATATTTCACTTGTCTCTTTTTTATTTCACCTAGCAACTCTCTTTTCATTCCCAATTTCCTCAGTACCTCTGTATTTGATAGCTTTTGTTTCCATGAAATACGACCTACTCTTCTGTATATCCACACATCTCAAAGAATTGATACGATTTTCCAGTTGTTTGTTTATTGTCCATGTCTCTGTGCCATACAGTAAGGTTGAGAATACATAACATTTGACAATTCTCATTTTTAATGTATTGCTTATTTCTCTTGATGTCAGTAACTTTTGCATGTTGTTGAAAATGTTTTTGGCCATCCCTATTCTTTTCTTGACTTCTGTTTCACTTCTGCCGTCACATGTTATTACTTGTCCAAGATATAAGAAATTTTTAACTTGTTCCAATTTCACCCCGTTCACTGTGATATTCATTGTTAGCGGATTATTTTCTTTGCTAAATATCATGGTTTTTGTCTTTTTCAAATTTATATCTAATTAGTAGAAATACAGGGGCTTAATCACGAATACTGCTGTGGAAACATCACAACTCAAATCTAGCTGCAGTTATGTTTCGGTTCACACATGCCGATCGCTTGCGTTTCCCAGCCAGCATAGCAGGATCTCAGTCGTTGACGTTGGCTTCAGATCCACACTGACCCAGCCATGTTTCCCTGAGGCTCAGGAATTTTCGGACTGAATCATCAACATACATTCATAACAGTGGCTTATTTGTGCAGTCAACCTTTCCTGCTTCGTCCAAACACTAACTGACTCTGTATCATCTCTTCGTTCAACCGTTCGTTCCAGTTCCACGCGTTGTCATTTCAACAGTTGACAAAACACGGAACATTTTACAACAGTTGACAAAACACGGAACATTTTACAACAGTTGACAAAACACGGAACATTTTACAACAGTTGACAAAACACGGAACATTTTACAACAGTTCACAAAACACGGAACATACAACTTTCCCGTGTGTCCCTCGTTTTCCTGGGAGTTCCCATCATTGCACTAAGCAACTGTCTCTTTAGAAACTATGAATTATAGACATGCAGGTACTTTATTTATAATTTACTCCAATATTCTAGGGGTGTTATGGGTTGGGGTTAGGGTTACGGTTAGGATCTTTGTAAGTCCCGTCAGAGATACCCACGAACCCTACCCCTCACTCTAACTCTAACCCTTAACCCCAGCCTGTAACACCTGTAGAATATTGCATTCTCCCGAGACGTCCTTCTTTTTTTAGGCGAATTAAAAATAAAGTACCGAAATGCACGTGTGGGACTAAGACTTAGTGTTGAACTGGTTTTCAGCACACGGTATCCCGGACAAGCAGTACGTGGAGCCGACTACCGACGTGCGGGCACTGAGGCAGACAACCTACATCCCCGTGGTACCCCATAAACCTGGCGGGGTCACGGAATACACCTTTCCCATGACCCCTCAGACCATGAATGACCCAGATGTGACCACCGCCTGCTGTGTTCCAGTGATCCCCTGCAACCCGGGCTTCCAGAACCTGACCTCGCACGTGAAATCTGACCCCAACCACATGTGTCAGACCTACAACAGGTAAGTAAAGTAAGTAAATGTCCCTTTTCCACGCCTGTATGCGTATATGGCATATAGGGCTAGACCTATATTTGTATAGACCAATCGGCACAAGATGGGTGATGTGGTCAGCATCGAGCTGGCCGCCTTTACTTCCCGGGACTGCACCCGGTACCCACTCAAGACTGGGTCGACCTGAGAGACGAGGTCATTTCTGAAAAAAGTCCGGCTCCGCTATGGAGCGAACCCACGACCTTCCGATCCGTACGCGAGTGTCTTGCCGCTACGCCACGGCGACTCCCCCTACAACAGGTAGCTTTAAAGAAATATTAATACTACGCGCTTAATCAAGGCTTTGGCTCTTTGACCCCACCACTCCGGTGTGTGTGTAAAGGGGTGACCCCTCCCTAAACTTTCCGTGATAACAACAATGTGTGTGTATATTGTGTGTGTGAGCGCGCGCGCGTGTGTGTGTATACATGTGCGGCCCTGCATAATGACTACATGAGATTTGGCCAACAAGCAACTATCATCCGTTAATTAATTGACAAGAACTGCCTCTCATTAAACACTCTCTTAGTCTAATGTTGGTCGTCTATACTTTACTGTTATCCTCCCACCTGTATCGCTAGCTATCTTTTGCTAGCCTGGATTTAACCCCCTTCCCCTTAAGATTCTCACAGGTTCTTATTGTTTAATTTCCCCCAAAAAGGGGAATCCCGAAGTCTCCAGTGGACAATACTCACTTGTATTTGTTTTGATCTCATAGTGGACAATACTCACTTGTATTTGTTTTGATCTCATAGTGGACAATGCTCACTTGTATTTGTTTTGATCTCCGTAGCGGACAATACTCACTTGTATTTGTTTTGATCTCATAGTGGACAATACTTACTTGTATTTGTTTTGATCTCTGTGGCGGACAATACTCACTTGTATTTGTTTTGATCTCATAGTGGACAATACTTACTTGTATTTGTTTTGATCTCTGTGGCGGACAATACTCACTTGTATTTGTTTTGATCTCTGTAGCGGACAATGCTCACTTGTATTTGTTTTGATCTCATAGTGGACAATACTCACTTGTATTTGTTTTAATCTCATAGTGGACAATACTCACTTGTATTTGTTTTGATCTCTTTAGCCGCAAAGTTGATATTTTCATCATGTTGTTGACAAAATTGTAGTACGCACTTGTGTGTGTGTGTGTGTTCGCGCATACACATACTTGTGCTTGTGTGTGTGTGTGTGTGTTCACGCACACACGTATTTGTGTGTGTGTATGTGTTTGTTTGTTCGCGCATGCATGCACGTGTGTGTGTGTATGTGTGTGTGTGTGTGTGTGTGTGTGTGTGTGTGTGTGTGTGTGTCATTATGCTTAATATAAGGATTTAAACAAAATCCACCCAAAAACGCCACCTGGCTCCACAGCTGCGACCAGCCCCAGCAGGTCGGTCCTCGCAGAGTGAACATCGACTCGGAAGTTGCTCGGACTCAAGAACTTCAAGGACATCCAGGGCAGGCGTATGGAATGCCCGCTTCGGCGCCCAATTACATGGTGCCACCATCCAATCAGCCGGGCGGGTCCTGTCTAGGTCTGCCTGACACCTTCCCTGAACCGCGACAGGTGAACGTCTGTCTGTCTGTCTGTCTGTCTGTCTGTCTGTCTGTCTGTCTGTCTGTCTGTCTGTCTGTCTGTCTGTCTGTCTGTCTGTCTGTCTGTCTGTCTGTCTGTCTGTCTGTCTGTCTGTCTGTCTGTCTGTCTGTCTGTCTGTCTGTCTGTCTGTCTGTCTGTCTGTCTGTCTGTCTGTCTGTCTGTCTGTCTGCCTGCCTGTCTGCCTGCCTTCTGTCAGCTTGCCCGTCTGTTTGCCTACCTATCTGTCAGTCTTTCTGTTTATCAGCTTATGTGTTCGTCACTCTGTCTATATTTTTTCGGTCTTAATTTGTGACTTCTAGTAATTCCCCCCCCCCCCCACCCCCCCGTCTCTGGGTAGTGAGATGGAAGCCCGTGTGCATTGTTGCACACGTAAAAAATCCCTTGGCAGTTGGAAATCGAAAAGAGTAGCCCAACGGCGCTGCCCGGGCAAAATTGGGAGATAAAAATCTACCCAAAGTTTTTTCAGGATCATTGCTGGTGCTACAGAGCCTGTGCACTGTGCTGAGCTTCTTCGAGTTAAAAGAAAAACGGAGCACTTATGGGTTACTACCCGTGTGCCGTGATGTTGATCTGTTGTTCAAACCTCAAACCTATTAGTGCCTGAGTTTGAAACTAAATACTTGATTCGGCGACGAGTGAAACACCCGATAAAATTGAAAGGTGTGACGTAGATCTCCACAAGTTCTTGTTGGATTAACATTCTAATCGTAGCTTATCGGGTCGCTTTGGTGTTCAATCTTCAGTTAGCAGATCCAGAACCATAAACTGTTTTGAAGACGTGTTCTGCGGGACTGCCACAGGGATTTTTATTTAAAAAAAAAAACATAGCTAAGCTGAACAAAAACCTAAGCAATAATAAAAAAAAAAAATTGTTAAAAAGTACAAATTTTATAGTTACGAAACGAAAAATGTTCCTACTTTTATATAAGGATTTTTTTAAAACCCTGGTGTCGATTGTATACTTCTCGTCATTTTTAGGACATAAATTTTCGTTAATTAAATTCCTACTCTGGCTTTGCCGGTGGCCGTAAGAAGAAACTCCACAGGGGAGCATGTACAGCAGGAGTCTACCAATCATCAGTAGAAGTAACCTCTCGTCGACAAATGTTTCGGCCCACGAGCTCCATGACATTTTCAGAGAGTGGGCCCACCTGAGTTCATGAGGCTCAGGATTGGTTTCTCCTGCTGCACGTATTACCGGATGTTATTCGGACAGGGACATGACGAATTGGTGACTTGCAAAAGGTACTGTGAGATAAGAAGTCGTTGCGGTAGCATAATTAAAGCAGTCTGCTTACCTGGACGACCAAGTGGCAAGCTTACGTTTGGTTTACCGGACACATGTTGGACTTTGTTGGCAGAGGGGCACTGGCAGACAATTTGGACACGATGGACTTCAAGGGATAAGACATTCATTTCCACTAGACACCCGCATCAGCTCACCGAGGCCCGTCCCCCACGACGTTCCGTTGTGTTCAGAGCCAGCTCGAGGCTTTCTCAGCAATTTCGCCGCAATATAGCCTGTCCAAAAATATGGGCTAACGGCTGATCGCGATTTCTGGTACCTCTCCACGGTGATCCTCACCCACATGGTGGCACTTTGTGTCATCGGGTGTTTACAGCTTGTGTGATGTCCTGGTGGGGGTAGAAAGTCAGTCAGTTAAAAAAAACCATATTTAAAAGTTTGAGCCAAAGGCGTCAAATAAAAACCCATATCTGGGGGTAAAAACCCAAAATTGGCAGCCCAGGTTTCTGTCTCTTTCCGCAGCGATATGGGGCTCCCCCGCCCCCGCCGATACACCCACCCCACTTCACCGAGGGGCCGTCCGGGGGTCAAGGCTGTATGGTTCATGACGCCTACACTCTGGGCCTGGATGTCATGCAAGGTGGGTCAGTGGGTCAACACTGTAGTTTATCATCATCGTCGTCGTCTCGCCTTTATCATTGATACTGTCATCGTTATGATCATCACAATTACCGTCGTCGTCATCATCATCACCTACACTGTTACCGTCATCAGCATTATCATCGTCGTCATTATCAGAGTCTTTATCATAGTCATCTTCATCATTATAAAAATCACGTTCATCATTATTAGTAATAAGGTAAAGGTAAAGTCGGGAGAGGTAAATCAACGTTATTGCACACGGTTATAAACCATAAGTGCTCTGCCACCAGTTCGAACAGCTAATAAGAAATTGTCTGCCTTTGTCGCCGTCCGCACGTAGCTCCGTAGCTACAGCGACGTTCCTCCAGTTACCCCAGAGTGTCAACTCTGGTACCCATTTCCTAGAGGTTGGGTGAACCTCGGGAACCGCCCGGTTTCGAACACCAGCCGTGAGCTGCAGCGAGTCGCAGCTGGATTTAAAAGCAAGTCTTATATCGACAGCGCTAACGCGGCCATCATTAGTATCATCATTGTCATCTACATCACCACATACCATGCCAGTAAAGGTAGGCATTCATATCTGCCATTCCCCTTAATCACTAGAATGACATGTCAGTTTTCTCGACTCGCTATTGATATTGATATCTTTGTCTTCCTGTGTTTCTCTTGCCATCAATCTTGCCAGCTTTCACCAGGTTTTCGAGTCTACTTTTTACCATAACATGACCAACGAATCTGGAATGTCTCCTTTAATTTATCTGGCAAGCTTACGGCACCATTGCCAAACGTGGGCATTGACAACACAAGGAAAGAGAAAACTTGAAGCAAAGGAAACGAAACAAAATGTCTAGAACTAATTTTTAATGTAACCGGAAAAGACAAGATCAGAAATGACAATGTCAGGGAAGAAGTTGGAACGAAACCTGTATTAAACTCCATCAAGAGGCAAGAGATGAAATGGTTCGGACGTGTGTCAAGACAACTACCAGATAATGCAACGACATAGAGCCCTGTCATTTAGACGTAACGGAAGCAGAGCCAGAGGTCGATCACGCAAGCGATGGATAGATGGAATACCAAAGGCGTAAATAACAGCCTCTAGGAAGCCCACAACAGGGTCCGCACCCTAGGCCTCTTCAAACCCTGACTCTCCGTGCAGAACATGACTAGAGAAGGAGGAGGAGGAGAAGAAGAAGACGGTGGTGGAGGAGGAGGAGTTTATGGCTTTCACTTCTGTCTCCTAAGGGCCTATCTCGTCCGCACTCTGTCAACCAACATATTTGCATTTGCCTCAGAAAGCTCACTTGTAGCGCCATAAGTTATTAGTTATCTCGGCGTTTCTGCTCCTGCACTTATTTACCCACGTCACACAAATCCATGACCATTTCAAGTCGTCTGCTTCGATATTTGGATGCCGAGGGTACGTTTTCGAGTGAAGTATTTGGTGCATCCCTGATGATCGACTGAGCTAAAGAGTTCATACTTTGTGTGACACGCTATGTAACCAGATAAACGTTCTGCAAAGACATGGGGGGGGGGGGGGGGTCCAGCCTAGTAAAATAAAACGTGCCCTATCAACTTTAAAAACCTTACGTACAGATACTTTATATTTATTAAATTCAGTCAAAAGACTGTAGACATTCCGCTAACAGCCCTTTGTTTTCTTCAAACAGACGGCGTTAATCCCCAACACGGCCAAGGAGCTGTAAGTTTGTTTTTGTTTTTTCTTTACGTTTGCTAGCCAATAGTTTTGAATGTGTCCTGTTTTATGTTTGCCTGTTCGTTTTGTTTATTACACTTGTGCCAACAATACTAACAACTGAATAACATTGAACAGCCAGTAAAGATATTTCATTCCATCATTCTTCGTTTTCGTCTGGTCCTCCTCCTCTTTCCCCTCCTCCTTGTTCTTCTCCTCCTCCTCCTCCTCCACCTCTTCTCCTTCTTCTTCTTCTTCTTCTTCTTCTTCTTCTTCTTCTTCTTCTTCTTCTAAAAACGCGATGTTGTCTGTATCTGCCTAAATGTGTGATGGGGTCAGCATCCGTCTAAATTCGTGATGTATTTAATATTGGCATAAATATATGATTAGTTGAGTATCCTTTACAGGACGTTGCAGAACCAACCACAACAGCCCCTGGCCGTTGTGTGGTTTTTTTATAGGCAAATTTACGTCCAGTAGTTTGCCATTGCCACTGGACGGTCGGCTTTCTTGATACCACTGACGAAACCAACGCAAGGCGCATGGCCCGCAGTTGGGATCGAACCTGGCATCCCGGCATAACGAAGCGTTCGCATCGACTTAGCCCCAGAGCCGTCATAAATATATGCGGTGCTGAATATCTACAGTAATGTATCATATGGTCAGTGTCAATGTAAATATGTGATGTGTTGAATATCTACAGTAATGCATCATATGGTCAGTGTCAATGTAAATATGTGATGTGCTCTGTTGTAACCTAAATATTAGATAGTGGCCACATCACTCACTGAGTGCGATTTGTGTGTAATATAGAGCGAGGACAATATAAATAAACGCGCACATGCGCACTTACAGTCATTCATATATACACACATACACACACACCTCAGGGCGTTCACACGACCGTCTACTATGTAACGTTGCCCCTAAAATGTGCACAACAGAAACTGGACGCACTGTCTTTGTTACTTGCAGGCTTTTACCAGTGTCAAGAGTCTCCGGTACCAAGATCGAGTTAACAGGGCAGTCACCGCATGTAAGTACACCCGACACCTGCTTTTGTTGTCGCCTTGTGCTCTTCGGCAGATGCAAAACGTGCAACTAACATAGTATCAGTTGTCGGGTTAGTTTCACGTTAGTCTCCCCAAATAGAGTGGGTCACTTTTCATTAACAAGTTCGTTGGGCTGATCGACTTTCCGGAAAGTTACGGGTGTGTCGCGCTCTGTTGTTTGGTTTCTTCGATGTCTTGCATTTACGTTGTCATTCCGAGAAAGAGAATGCCTAAGACATAGGTTGTAGCACTCTCTGGATGGGGTTGTGTTAGGACCAGTCTGTCCATGTTTGTTAAAAGCGCTGGCGTGCTGAAATATACAACACGCGATATCAACGGCATTACGGAACATCATTGCAACCTTGTGCGAAGGGCACGGGGCTCAAGAACTACCAGTCAGAAGTGAGTTAATGTGTATAAAGGCGGTCAGTGTGGAGACTAACGTTAGTTTTACCCAGCTGCTAGAAGAAAAGTGTGTTAAAGTGCTACGTCAGGTCTGTGTTGTCTCCTGTATTGTTCGATAGAGCTGAAGTATTATTGTGGCTATGTCCTAGACAAGACGGCGATGGAGGATACAGTTTCCAGAAAGTGAGGCAGAGGCAGATATTTGCTGTGGAAATAAGGGAAGGAACAAACAGCATGCAAATGACTCTGATCTGTAAAACGGATGTGTGCGCATCACTCAGTTTCTCGAACAGGACTAGAAGTGGACAAACAACCAAAACCTTCCGCCGGAATTTACAGCCGGTGATTATAAGAAAAAGATTTTAAAGGGAAAAATGCGCTCCGATGCAGATTTGAACCATATACCTTCTTGTCGGTAGGAGAGCGTCTGGCTGCTGTGCCACCAAGGTTCACCATTATTTCACCTATATTTTACATACGAATCGGCACTGGGTGGGTAATGTGGTCAGCATCACTCCGGCCGCCTTTACTTCCATTAGAACATAAGCCCCTCAGTAAACTGACACTGAGGCAGACGTCGGCGTCTGTGGCTTAGACATTGCCAACGCGCTTCCTAATTCTGAAGAGCTGTGTTCGATTCTAGCAGATAAAGCAGCAGATCGCCTTGCGTTGATTTCGGCAAGAGTATCCAGAACCAACCGGTCAGAGAGCAATGGCAAACTACTAAATGTAAAGTTGCCTAGTAAAATAAAAAACAGGATTGGTTCTAATGTCCTGTAAAGGATACGTAACTAAGTAATCCTATGTTGTGACACTTTCTGCATTTCCTTCACGTTCTTTAGACATTCTCCACCTGTCCGTACTTCTTTCCCTACTTATTTTCAAATCGCCCTCTATATCTTCTGTTTGTAGTTTATCAGCTATTGTTTTAGTTGTGCTTCATGTTTCAACTCAATGCAGCAGTGCTGATTTGACATTACGACCTAATATTAAAAATGTAGTACTACTGGTATTATTTTCATATCACAGTTTTCCTATCACGTAGAGAGCTCATCTTTAGCACAGGTTGAGTGTTCTGTGGCGCCTGTCCCCGTGGACACAGTTCTGAATCCCCCAAGTCTTGAATCTCTTGGGCAGCAAGGTTTGTTATGTCCAGGGCGAAGTCTCAACACAATGATCTGTTTCTGTCGTGTAAAGATGTTTTATGTGACTTCAGGACTGTGTCCCGGATGGGAAGTGCCCCAGTGGGATCTGATGCCTTGCAAATGATAGTTGTTACATTGTCTAGGTTCAGAAAGTCAAGAGAACCGGATTAGGCGCCTCAAATCGATGTATGGCGCCTTCGGATCTTACCTCATCGCCAACCCATATACCCGAAGACATCTAGAAGGGGTCAGGGACACCATCTCTACACAAGGTAGGATTTACCGTCAAGTTCATTTTACTTCAAATGCTCATTTTCAGCGTGTGGGTTTCGGGGTCCATATTGGTTGATGTGGTGGAGGGGAAGGGGGGAGGGGAATGGTCCTAATGCTCCTTATCAGTCATGTCATAAAAGGCTCTCATATCTCAGCCTAGTTGCCCCTTTAATAGCGAACGCAGTAGAAGAAGAAGATGATGAAGAAGAAGAAGGAAGATGTAATGTTAGTATTTTCCCTGTAATATAAGAGTAAACACGAGATAAGAGACAAATACACGAGAATGTGAATTCTCATAGAAACACGAGATATACAACAGGGCTCAGGCCAGCACGTGAAACCCAGAACGAGGGTTATAAGGTTAGACCAAGGTGACATAATCCTATTCGTTTTCCAACACACCAGCATTCCTTGAGAAAATATGTAAAGGACGCTAACTACACTGACCTCTGAAGGCGATGCTTGTCGATCTGCACGAAACAGATATTGAACAGAGGAAATAACCACGGGAGTAGTATGTAAAGTAAAGGGTCATTTTCCTCGCCTTCATACGTTTTGGGCATATAGGGCTAGACCTATATTTTATAGACCGATCGGCATTTTGTGGGCGATGTGGTCAGCAACACGCCGGCCGCCTTAGTAAGGCAGGGGATTTTTCTCTCTGGGGAGCAAAATTAAAATCTAATCAACACAGTGCGTGGCGACAGCACTAGCCATGCCACCCTAAACCTCAAGGCTTAAAGACCCACCGCAAAACTGGTAAATACAGACAGAATAAAGAAAGATAGAAGGTGTATGTTGCTCCGACCATGTCTGTCTGTCACATCTTTCTCTACCTTCATCCATGCAGGTAATGGATTCCGCTGGAGCTATCCGAAGTTTGAAAACCAACAGTGCTACATTGTCGAGCGGAACCCTCGTTGCTAAAATGGAAACTCAAAGGAACAACCGGTCCTGGAAACTCAAAGGAACAACCGGTCCTGGAAACAAACAGAGTCTGTCTGTCTATATTTGGCTTTATTTACATTTTTGTGTTGACCCCCAGGGAATATCCCCTCCCACGTCCACCCCCATTCAAGCTTGTTTTGTTAGCTCCTGTTTAATAAGCGAAAACTGAAAATGACTGTCCCACATTCAGTCGTAATGTTTTATAATCGCTTTAATAAAAATAAAGTAGGCGGATGAAAAAATAATAATTTATTATTTATTATATACTGCGTACACACTTCCAAAGTTGTGTTTATGAAACAATGATAACGATTAAAGAAAGTAAACATTGTAACACTGCGTTCAATTTGCCATAGTTTTTATTGTATCTAGTCCCAGTTCTAAATTCCCAGCTAACCTGTCATCGCATAATTGTTCCGTTTCCTTTATCAGCAAAAACCACACCCAATGCCCTTCGCTGACCCTTAAGGAGAAACATAAATGGCAACAGACTGCAAACTTGGCAGTATCAAACATACTCATGTGCATCAGATGCAAAAATATAGAACATCAGAAATGCCAACAAAGCAGCCCGCCACTAGAGTTGCAGTTCATTGTCGATGAAAGCAGCAGTCACACACAACAACAAAAAACACAGCTGTACATGCAATATTGCATAAGGCACCAAAGTTCTGTAGCAGCCACTTGTCATTTTCTGAATATGCAGTTCACAACACAAACAGCTCAGTCAAAAAGCACTTCAAATGTAATTCATAGCTCACAGTGTTGCACCTTGCAGTCATCTCAGCAGCTGGCGCATCATTTATTTTTATTATGCTGTTTTTAACTATTCACTACCCTGAGATTCACTAAACCAGCCGTCTCCAGCCTGGCACACGCCCCACTAGCAGACGTGAGGAAGTCCCAAGGGGACGTCAAGCAGTTTTGACGTCGAGTGCATTTGTGTTTGAAATAATCTGGGGTTTTTGGCTTTGAAAGTCATGAAAACAAAAAAGCGTGGCGAGATTGAGGTGCCAGTGTGCCTTGATCAACGTCGGATCTGAAACAGCAGATATTATTATGACCAAACATTGTCGCCCATCACACTGACATTGGACGCTAAATTACCACTTGTTGATTGTTTCTTTGGTTGTGTTCTTTTTTGACACTCTGAATTTGTGCGTATTCTTGTCTTGTTAATAGTACTTAAGGTTTTTATGTTTGTCCTTCTCTTTGTTTTTTGATCATACTTTGTTTTGTGGGGGAAAAGGGGGGTGGGGTTAGTGCTGTCATATACTCGAGAGAGGAACCGCTGAAAATGTTGGGAAATATACACACACACACACACGCACACACACACGCACACACAGAGTGATGCACTTCAACACTTCGTCACGGACATAGCCACTACAGACATACACACATACACACACGCTAAAGTAATCGAGTATGATCAACGGCTATGATAAGGACATAATTCAACTATTGTAAGATACAATGTTATAAAGATTATCTAACTTGTCGCTGTACAATATCTGTCGTAATCATCGCCCACAACATTAATTCATTGTCCGGTTTATCTGTCACATCGAAGTCTATGCCTTCATTTCGTTCTATCGTTAGCAATTTGTTCAGTGTTATGGATGGAATCCAGTCCTGCGGCTTTGGCCTCTCTTATCAACGTTCGTCTTTTGGTTTCTCTTGAACGCCTTCTTAATCAATTTATTTCCCATTTTAATACCTGTTTGGCGATTCTCTTATTTCTGCACTCCTTTTGAACTGATCCCATTTTATTTGCATTATTTCCCTCAGACATGAGTTTTCAAATGCATTTAACTTTTGTTCCCTGACTTTAGTTGTTCTCCAACTTTCACTTGCATATGTTAAAATTGAAACAACATTCGAATTTAAAAATTGTAACTTGGTTTTTAAACGATACAATTTAGAGTTCCTTATTTTGTTATCTAAATCCCAAAAGATATAAGCAGGACAATATTTCAAAAAAGAATGATACAAACTGCACACATTTTTTAAATATACCTCGAACACTCATTGAACACTTTACATCTCAATTCATGGATCAGGTCAGTGTTCTTCTCCCGCCCTAATCAGTGTGGCCAAGCCATCCACGTACAGTGCAGACCACTGGTGAATTTCTGTTGTGAAGAATAAGTTAAATATCCCCGGCTATTTTTCTTGCTTGAATTCTTATTTTACTAAAAGGAATTTCTGATAATGTATAATAATGGGTCTCCGATTTCTCCTTATCAGGTCTGCAAATTTTGAAAAATAAAACAAATACCTGTGATAAGATGATCCAAATCTACCGCAATCTTTAAGCAGATGAAAAAATGAATTAACATCATCAAACACCGTAATTATAACCTACAAACACAACAGAGGTTGAACAGGATCAGTTTATAAGGGGCGGGAAGGAAAGGGGGGGGGGGGGGGGGGGTGGCTGTATTTATCTCGTTGCCTTCCTTTCTGCGAACGTTACAGACAGGGAAGTAATCGTTCACATTTATCCCATGAATACCTGGGGTTAATTCCCCTTTCAATGGCGAGGGCTGGAGAAAGAATCTACCGGTATCCTAGCAACCGGCAGTGACAACAAACAGGTGTGTGAAGACTTTCCTGTGTTTTAGAACATCAAGCACATACACTGAAAACATGTCGGACTCCGGATCTGAAGAAATAGACGAGGAACAGGAAGAGTATCTGGGAGTAAGTCGATTTTAGTGTGATTTTGTAGGACAGGGTTGTTTCAGAGTTAACGTTAGCTGTTTCCTAACTTATTTATTATGCCTATGGGAGACTATGTAAATGTAAATAAAACACCAGCATTTGTTTTAAAAGGTTCGGAAAGGGGGAGGGGTGGGGGTGCCTATTTGGTTCGACCAGCCGGTTTTAAGTCCAGAGTTAGCCATTGCTCTCTGGACGGTCGGCTTTCGATACCTTTCCTGAGTTCAATGCAACAAAGCGATCTGGAGTTCAAGAGTAACGTTTTTCTCTTCTTACCGGTACCATCAGTATTGGAACTCTGCGCTGGCTGCTGAAGATGAGGACGGAGCATGCATGGGAATGCCCCGAGTGCTGTGATGTCAATTCTTGACTTAACTCAACTCTTCTTCTTCTTCTTCTTCTTCTTCTTCTTCTTCTTCTTCTTCTTCTTCTTCTTCTTCTTCTTCTTCTTCTTCTTCTTCTTCTTCTTCTTCTTCTTCTTCTTCTTCTTCTTCTTCTTCTTCTTCTTTTTTCTTTTTCTTCTTCTCCTTCTCTCTCTTCTTTGTTCTCCTTCTTCACTTCATATTTTACCGCTTTATGTGTCGAGGGAGGTATAAGGATTTGCTTAACGATATTAAACCATTAAACAGGTTTAGCTAGGCACCTTGTTTACACTACTACTTCACTACTGCCTACTGCCTACTGCTACTGCTACTGCCTACTGCTACTGCCTATTGCTACCCCTAAAATGACAACTACAGATTTTATCCTGCATCTGTTCGAAACTCTTAATCAAACAGTCACTAAGTTGCTGTCCACTGAAAAAGACACATTTCATACGCAGATTGTGGTTAGTTATCCTACAATCATATTTTGTGTTTTAAAAGAATATATTAACCTGGCATCAGTGAGACGACAAAAGAGAAAGAAGAAAACAATATTTGAAAGCTAAGGTTGTTTTGGTTTCTCAAATCTATAGTTATGTTTTCTTTCTCAAATGTTTAGTTATGTTTTCTTTCTCAAATCTATAGTGATGTTTTCTTTCTCAAAGCTATAGTTATGTTTCCTTTCTTAAAGCTATATTATGTTTTCTTTCTTAAATCTAAAGTTATATTTTCTTTCTCAAATCTATATTTATGTTTTCTTTCTTAAATCTATAGTTAATTTTCTTTAATCTATAGTTATGGTTTCTTTCTTAAAGCTATATTGTTTTCTTTCTCCAAGGTATATTATGTTTTCTGTCTTAAAGCTATAGTTATGATTTCTTTCTTGAAGATATATTATGGTTTTTTTTTAATAGTAAAATCTGAGGTTATTTTTCAATTTCAAGACTTATGTTTTAAAAGTATTTTCACTGAAAATGTTTTGTAAAACTCAATGAACTTAAGAGGGGGAAAGAAAAAAGAGAAATGTCTGGGCAACCAATAGTATCAGTATTTATGAGACAGAGAAGATAGTGTTATATTGGACACACCATGAGAAGAAATGTGCAGAGAATCACCAGACATGAACTAAAATGGGCAATAAAGTGGTTAAGGAGGTGAGGACGCCAAAAAGTAGCCCTAAAACAAATATCAAAGAGAGACGCCATAGGTGCTGGAATGGATTCCAGCCATGATAATGAATTAATTAAACAGGATAGAACAGAATAGACTGCGAGCCTCATGCGTGATATAAAAGCACAACAAGACAACACATGAATCAACAAATGTTTTATCTTAATGGACAGCAAATCACAAAACAGGCAGTATGTATGTATGTAAGTTGTACCCCACCAGGACATCACACAAGCGATAAAAACCCAATGACACAAAGTGCCACCATGCAGATGAGGATCACCGTGGAGAGGTCCCAGAAATCCTGTTCAGCCATTAGGCCTTATTTCAGGCCTGGCTATATTTAGGGCCCCCGGCAAAAGCCAGGGTAGGGGCTTCAAAATAACTAAAAATTAAAACAGGCACTGCAGTTGGAAAGCAAATGAATTAAGGAATCAAGGATGTCCAAGAGAAAGCTGAAGATGAACATAACTGAGAAAGACCAAAAGTTGGGTTGGGTTCCATCCATGATATTCAAAGATTGCACATGACAGTTTGGAATGGAGCACTAAGCAGGGCCCTGTATGATGTATAAGAGCACAGCAGACTGAAGGTGACAATGATTTATCAATATATTTCAGACTAAATAAGTTACAGTAACAACTGTTTGGGACCAGAATAATTTCAGTGTGCACAAGATGAGTATCAACAAAATATTCCAGGAAAATAATTCAGCAGTCTTTGTTTGAGTATTTTTTTTTTTTTTGTACAAGACTGGGAAATATGTAAAAATTGTAACTAGCAGAAAGTGAGGGACAGAGAAACGAGACAGAGAAATTAGCTCGAGATGTGCCAAAGCTAATCAAGTAATGGTTCATCTATCTCTCCTGTTGAGGCACAAGCAAATACTCTAGAGTACTAAAGTGAATCTTATCAGAACTATTTTTTGGCCAACACTATGCTATCAGTGCCAAACGTGGACACTTACATCCTCCAATGAATGTAAAATTGTGACAACAGAAATTAAATGCCTTGGAAGAGCTGAAGAAGTTTCAAGGAAAGACAGACTACGAAATCAGACAAATACTAGGAAAAAAGCCCTTCTTACAAGCAATCAAAGAACAAAAAATGAAGTGGTTTGGACACCTAACAAGAATGCCCTGGTACTATCAGCCACAGCGAGCCACACTAAAACGTTACAACGGGTATAGAGCGAGTGGAAGACCTGGGAAAATAGGGAGGGATGCATTAAGAACAGCCTTACAGAAATGGACATCAGTCTTAATAGTGCTCTTGACAGAGCTCATTAACAAACGTTACATCTCCCCCCGACACTTCGCTGAGGTACAAGGTGGAAGAGAAGAAGAAGAAGAAAGTAAGGGCATTTTTTAGGTACTACTCAACAGTATGCAGCACCTGAAATTTTGTTTAGGCACAATTTTTTTCTGTTCTTTTATAATAGGAGCTTTGTGATGAATGCCAGCACTTTCTTTTAGAAAAAAAAAAACCCTTGAAAAGGCAAATTAAAAACAAAATCATTTAGTTAAATTTAGAAAAGGGGGGGGGGTGTGGCTCTTGGCTTCTAGGTTCTAAGAGTGAAAAATGTAAATAAATGTTACGTAAGGCTTGACTTTATGTCTCCTTTAAAAAAAAAAATTTTTTAACATTTGTTGTAAAATTTGTTTTTTTAAAGTCTTATGTTGGAGAAAGAAATGATCGCAATGAACGTCATGGTCAAGGGAAGGCAACTCTGCCCAATGGAGATACGTACGAAGGCTTTTACGAGAATGGGAAGAGGAGTGGGACAGGTGTCTACAGGTAGGTTATGAGGTTGATCTTAGTTGAGTTGAGTTAGGATCTTATATCAAAGTACTCTGGTCATCCCATAAGCTGTCCATCCCTATGCTCAGCAGCCAGCCCAGAGCTCCAGTGGTACCATAAGCAGTCTGATGGTATGTCCATCTTGCTGTTTCTCTGAGTGTTTTGTACTTTTGTATCAGCCAGATTCTTGTGGCACACCCTGCAGTACGATTTTCTTGCAGCTGGGATGGTCTTTTGTACTTTCACACTGGTCCCTCGCTTCTAAAGGGTACTGATCTTATCTAGCTTGTCATACTTCAGTTTACGTATTGTAATATTTGGGGGAGTGAGTTAAATAAGGAGCTAGAATTAGCGAGGGAGGAATGGTGTGATAAATTAGTAAAGGAATGATACTAAGATGTACAAATGAGGAATAAAGTGCTGATAAATTGGGTAGGGGAAGATCCAGTGTTAGATGGGTTTGGTATGACCCAGAGATAGATGGGTGGGACATTGTATACTGTTAGATTGGTAGGAGATGATCCAGTGATAAATACGTTAATATAAAGTTGTAACAGTATATTAGATCAGCATTATGATATCAGGAAAGATTAATTATTTCAGATCTGGTTGCATTAACTCTGCTGCTTTTTGTGATAAATTAGCAGATTAAACATGTAGTGTATTGATTAAAAAAAAAAAGTCATGTTAACTTTTTAAAAGATTAGTAGATTGCATTTCATGATCAGTTATTATCCACATTGAGGCTTAAAGTGGCAGTCTTATTCAGTAATTTTTGTCCTGCCCTATGGTGTAGAGATACTTTATAATTTTTTTATTTAGTCATATCTATTATACCATGCTCACTAGAAATAACTGTGAACTTGTTTTGTTCCTCCTGGTGACACAAAATGCCACCATGCGGATGAGGATCACCTGTGGAGAGGTCCACAAAACCACTTTCAGATGTTAGGCCATATTTATGGCCTGGCTATATTCAGGGCTCCCAGCAAAAGCCAGGGTGGGGGTATTTATAGCTATGTGTGATATCCTGGCGGGGTAAATTTACTGACTTACTGACTTTTGTATTGTCATTTAGGTTCTTTTGTAATAAACTGATTACCAAGCCATACTGATTGAAGATGGGTTTGCAACAGCTTTAGTGGTGGTTGATTGTTCACCTTACAGCTCCTTTGATTTCTTCTCTGACTACAAAAAAAACTCACCATCGTTTGCTATTCTCTAGCCTCTTGATTTCCAAATTCAGCATGCCTGTAATGAATATCCTGTCACCCCTGACTCTGTTTCTAGCTTTTGATTACTGTTGTTTTTCTAGGCAACTGTGGTGTTTAATTTAGTCAAACAATTTTGGTTCCTGAGACATGTTGCTATTTATAAGCCAGTTTTTTGTGATGTTTGATATAGTCAAAGAATTTTGGTTTCCGAGACATGTTTCTATTTATAAGGGATTCCAGATTTTTCTGTTTATAAGCCAGTTTTCTGTTATGTTTTATATAGTCAAAGTATTTTTGTTTCCAAGACATGTTGCCATTTATAAGCCAGTTTTCTGTGATATTTAATGTAGTCAAAGTATTTTGGTTTCGAAGACATGTTGCCATTTATAAGCCAATTTTCTGTGTTGTGCAGATCCTGTGGAATGGTAAATGGTCTTCTTCAGCCTTCTAAGAATATTTATGTAATTTTTCAGTTCAAAAGCCTTGATTTTCTTCTTTGGTGGTTTCAAGATGGTGCATGGCACACATCTACATGTCATAGAAATCACTGATGAATTCTTCTTCTTCTTCTTCGTGTTCACCAGTTGTAAACTGGCGGAAAGTTCTGGTTGTTCATCCACTTTTGGACTGCAGTCCTGTTCCAGAACCTGAGTGTTGCATGTGCATCGGTTTTACAGATCTGACTCATTTGTATGCAGGCTGCTGGTTCCTTGCCTCTCAGGCAGATGCACTCTGACTTCAAAGGAAGCTCCCAATTAGTCGGCTTTTACGACTTGCTTTTGGGTAGGCAGTGGGTCTATTCTTGTTTTCCCTATAATAGGGCCCCAGAACCCACACGGAGAATAGCTGATGAATGTAACATCAGTTTAAAAAACAAACTTGTTGCAGGTTCAAGAATGGAGCTCGTTACATGGGAGAATATGCAAACAACAAAAAGCATGGCCAGGGAGTGTTTATTTATCCAGATGGCTCCAAATATGAAGGTATTTCTTGCTTCCTTTAATATTGTTTCCAGTTATCCTTCTTTCCTTCATCTAATTTTTCTCTAATTCTTTGTTTTATTTTTAGTTTTTAATTCAAGCTGATATTGTCACAGCTGTTTTTCTCTTTCTTCTCAAGCAGCATTGTTTTTTTAATTTTTTTTAATTTGTCCAAATTAGAGGTGTTATGATGTTTTAATCAAGGTCACATAGACCTAAATTTGGATCCTATCACATCTCATACCTGACAGCTTTCATGTCTCCACAGACCTCAGTCTTTGATCAATTCTGTTGATTATATTCCACCATGCCGTTACCTAAGATAATTTGCATCCTTTCTCTCTAACTTTGCCTCTTTTACTACTGATCTTGCAAAACAAGCATCCTGGGAACGTTTCGGTGAGTCACTAGCTGAAAATGAGAAAACAGCCAGCAGAAAATTTTTCAAAGTGGTTAAAAATATGCGGAAAAGAGATGAGAGCTACAACCCCACTGAAATAATTAATGATAAGACAGGAAGGCCATTGATAGATCCACCCGAGATTGCAGAAAGATGGAGGGAATACTTCAATGAGCTCTTTAATCCTCTAGGAGATCAGCAGGAAAGAACAACTGAAGAGCACAGAGCAACAGTGTTAGAACCACACATACTAATGGATGAAATAGAAAAAGTCATTAAACAGTCTCCAAAATATAAAGCACCAGGAGCTGATAGATTACCAACAGAAATAATTCAAGCAGCAGGTGAAAGCAGCATCAGATGGCTTCACAGAATATTCAATGCAGCATGGGTACAACAAACGGCCCCTATTGATTGGCAACATGCAATAGTTATACCATTGTGGAAGAACAAAGGAAGCAAACGAGAATGCGGTCAATATCGAGGCATATCTCTTTTAAGCCATGTTGGCAAATGTATGCCAAGATAATAGAAACAAGACTGAGACCAGTGATAGAACCACAGCTGGCAGAAGAACAGATGGGATTTAGGAGAAAATAGAAGCTGCACAGATGCAATCTTCACACTTAAACAGTTAATAGAAAAGAACATTGAATACAATAAGAACTTATTTGTGGCTTTCATAGACCAGGAGAAGGCATTTGACAGAGTCGACAGACAATTATTATGGAAAATAATGGCAAGATATGGAGTAAGCGAACACCTCATCGAAGTGTGCAAAAGTTTATACAGGGATTGTAGAAGTGTAGTTAGAATAAATCAGGGAACATCTCATCCTTTCACAGTGACATCTGGAGTAAGACAGGGGTGTGTCTTATCACCACTGCTGTTTATCACCTACATCGACAGTATATGCAAGAATGCCAAGCCCATGAATGAAGATCTTAGTAAGATCAACGAATTACTCTTTTCAGATGACCAGGCCTTGATAGCAGATACAGCCATGAAATTGCAACAACATCTAACATCCATGAATGAAGAATGTAAAACAAATAATATGAGAATCAACACTGAAAAGACAGAAGTAATGTCAATAGGAAAAAAGAAGACAGATCTAAACATAACAATAGAATACAAAGGCATTAAACAGGCATCTGAGTTTAAATATCTGGGAACTACATTTACCGAAGATGGGAAATTGGATAAAGAAATTGACATTAGGTGCAGTAAAGCAAACCAAGTATTGGGACAGCTAGCCCCCCTCTTACAGCATAAGACAATCCCAATCAGCACAAAGAGACATCTTATTCAAAGCATATTTATTCCAACTCTGTGCTACCAGTGCCAGACATGGTCACTCACAACAAACCATAAAAGAAAATTAGTAACCACGGAAATGAGATGTCTGAGAAGGGCTGTAGGAGTGACCATAAGAGATAAGATCAGAAATGAGATCATAAGAGAACAAGTCGGCACAGAACCAATTCTGGATTACATACAAAGACAGCAAGTGAAATGGTTTGCCCATTAGAGAGAATGCCTTGTGACACCATACCATACAAAGCATACATGGGAAGAGAAGAAGGACGTAGAGCACGGGGTAGACCAAGAACAAGATGGAAGGATAACATCAGAGAAACTCTACAACAGCACGATGTGCCTATGGTCGAGGCAGCCAGAAGAGCTAGAAACAGAACCTTATATCTCCCTCGACACCCACAGCGGTAAAAGAGGAAGTGAAGAAGAAGAGAAGAAGAAGACTACTGATCTTTCCAGTCAACTCAATATTCGGCAATGCCAGTATTTTCATTCTTCTCCTGCTCTTCTTCCACAGTTGCCTCATCAAAGTGTTGAGGAGAGATGTAATGATACTTTGTGTGCTCTTTCCAAAACATTTATAAGATGATCTTCATTTTTTCAAGTCTGTATCTGAAGTCATTGTTGCATCCTTTGGCATGGTATTCCCCTGGCAGAGAAAGGTCAGGACAGGCATACTTCATACAGAGTGGCAAGCTTCACTGCAGAAGTCACAGGTGGGGAGGATTGTCTGAATCTTTTCTCCGGGGCAAGCGAAGAAAGGAACAGGCAGACAGACTGGCTGGCACTGCACAACTTAGTGGAATACTGATACATGATAAGGCAGATGTGGGAAGGGCCTTGTGGAAGAGTATGTACAATTCAGAGGAGGAAATGGATCAACACAGTCCGGTGAGAGTAATGCAGTGGGGAGTGATGAGGAATTCTGGCCGATGCTCAACGCTTACAGCAAAGGTGAGACAGAGGTATAATCAGAATGTTGCTGGCACCATAGGTATTGGAACTCTGCCGTGGCTGCTAAGGATGGTGATGGAGCGTTTATGGGAATGCCAGGAGTGCTATGATGTCTGTTCTTAAATCATCTTAACTCAGCTCAACCCCTTGTAATGTGTTTATTATATTTCTTCAGCATTGCTCTCCGATGTCTTAGAAGAATACTACATCTCCACTGGACAGATTTCAGATCCAGTACGCAAATAAGAAGAGAGACCAAGCAAGATAATGTATACATTTTATAAGAAGACGCCGCCTGAACTACATCAGTCATGCACTCAGAATGGATAAGACAAGACGTGTACATCAAGCCTTCATATGGACACCAGAAGGGAAAAGAAAACAGCAGACCAAGATAGACTCTATGTAGAACCATCATCAGGAAAGGCTCAACATGGACCTAACAAACATCCAAGACCTAAAGCAAGTGGCAACAAACTACCAGACATGGAGAAAGCTATGACCACTTCCCTATGTGCCGCCCTAGGCCCGAGAGGATAAGACTAAGTGTGCTCTCTGTAGTAGTTGGTACCAGAGCCAAACCATTTCATCTGTCGTTCTTAAACTCGTTCAGTCCCATAACAACACACTGTATCAAAATGTTTTGTATATTTGCACCTCGTACATTTCAAGTTTAGTCCAGGAAACTTGATCAACCCAACAACAAAAGTCACCCACAAAATGTCAGGTATTTGGACCTCGTGGATGCAGTAATTCCATGCTTTTGTTTTCATAACTATTTCAGCTATGATCTTCTGGGATTAAAACTGTGAATGGATTGTATGACTGGCATGAGATCTAGGCACTTTTCTAATTTCTTTATTTTTAATTGTATCTTGTCTCAGGCAGCTACTCTAAGACATCTCCTCTTTGTTGTTATGATTTGGTACTCATTAGTTGTATAAGTGTGTGGTGTAGGTGTTACGAACGTGCTTTCTAATGCTGGGGTGCCGATTCCACCCCAGCCGCAGGTAGTTTGTCAACAGAATGTCTCGCATTGGTTTTGACTAGTATCAAGACAAGATCATTCAGAAGCAATGGCAAACTACTGAAAGTAAATTTTCTAGAAAAAATACAACTGCCAAAAAATGCTGAGGTTGGTTTTTCAAAGTCCCGTAAAAGATACACAATTCGCTTAATCGCAGTCAGGATCCAAGTTTTACTTTTTTCATTCTAGGGCCCCAAAAATAAAAATAAAAACTTGTCCTTGCCTCCAGGCGTGTTCAGCATATAGGGCTAGACCTATATTTTATAAACCAATCAGCACTCGGTAGGTGATGTAGTCAACATTATGTCAGTCGCCTTTACTTCCCAAGACTTAACCCGGTACCCATTGAAGACTGGGTAAATTTGCGAGCCAAGTCATTAAAAAAAAAAATCGGGCTCCATCAGGACCCGAGCCCATGACCTTTGGATCCGCAGGCAAGCATCTAACCGCTAAACCACAGCCTCCCTATGACCAACACACACAAAAACCCAATAAACATGGTTTCTTATACTTGTGAATATCGTACTAACGTCATTTGTTTCTCCGGCCAGTCATTGCTAGCTACAGTGGCTCTCACAATTTATTTGCAACATTAATCTCACATACCACTCCCCACATACCACACCCCACACCCCACATATCCCACTCCCCACATCCCACTCCCCACACCCCACATCCCACATCCCACTCCCCACTGCCCCAAAACTGTTGCAGATTAGTCCGCTCACATTCCAAGATTCTTTCTTGTAGCAGAACTGGTTTGACATAACATTTCATTTCTCTTTCAAACATGCAGTAAAAGTGGCTCCACACACGATATTCTTTTTATATTCTAAAATCTGTAATTTAGCTGGGCCTGTTCTGCTCTTAATCTTCCATCTGGCATTACTGTTGGTTTCATATATTTGAACCTTATTAAAATTATGAAAAAGCATTTACATATATGTGTGAGAAAATTATAAAAGACTGACACGGATAAGTTTTTTTGTTTTTTTTGTGTAAATGACTTTGTTAATATTTATTTGTTTCATTATAGTTAAGCCTTGTAGTTTTGTAGTCTGAGACCCTATATCGCACGGAAAATGGAAAGGGGGGGGGGGGGGGGGGGGGAAAGACTCATGGCTTCTTAACAAGCATTTTGAAAAAAGTGACTAAGAATTGCTAAAATTGGATGTGTTGGGCTGAAAGTTAGACATCACAGCCTAGTTGTAAACCACAACACAACATACCAATCACTCTTTTAAAGGTATATGCAGGAGGAGAATAATAAGTCGAAGAAGAATAGAATGAAATAGTCATTGAAATGTTTATAAACAATAAACTTTTCTGTTTGCAGGAAATTGGGCAGAAGATCAGCGGTGTGGGTTTGGGAAATATTACTACATCAACGGCGACTACTATGAGGGAGAGTGGCAGGACCACATCCGCCAGGGTCGAGGGACGTACTTCTACGCTGCTACCGGCTCTAAATATGTGGGCTTATGGAACAACGGCAAGTGGGAGGGGCATGGGGAGTTGATACATGCCAATCATAAGTATGCTGGCAAGTTCAAGGACAATAAGGTTAGCATAACATTTAGTTCCCTCTCTCACTTATTTTGTACAATAATATCATTTTCTACCTCTTATAGTTTCTTTCCTGGCTATTCTTCCTCTGCTTTCTTCTTCTTCTTGTGTGTTTGTGTGTGTGTCTGCGTTTGTTTCTGTGGGTGCATGTATGTATGTATGTGTGTGGAATGTGTGTGTATGTGTGTGTAGGTAGGTATGTATGTGGGTGAATGGGTGTGTGTTTGTGTGTGTGTGTATGTGGGTATATATAGATATATATATCTGTGTTTAAGAGAGTGGGTGGGCGCGCGCGTGTGTGTGCACACTAGTGTGTACATGCATTTTTTCTTGATATTCACTATCTGCATATTATCATATGAATATATCATGCTTATTGATAAAATACAACTGCTGTATGAAAGACGAGTGTTTGGAAGGGCCAAATGTAAGACGCGCTGCATGCCCTGTTTGTGACCCTTTGCAAATAAAGTTCATCCACTTCTGGGCTCTAGTCCTGTTCCAGAACCTGAGTGTTGTGTGCACATCTGATTTGTATGCAGACTGTTGGTTCCTTGCCCTTCAGGAAGATTAAGTCTGACTGTGAAGGAAGCTGCCAATTAGTCGACTTCTATGACATGCTTGTTGGGGAGGCAGTGCGTTTATTCTTGTTTTCCCACATTGGAGAACTTTCTGCCAGTTACAGCTGGTGAATGGGAAGAAGGAGGGATATACACAAATATTTCAAATATATTATAAGGTTGTTTTTTTGTGTGTCTGTTGCCTTCAGCACATTATTATCATCATCAGCTATGGTCTTCTGGGATTAAAATAGTGAATGGATTGTATGATTGGCATGAGATCTAGGCACTTTTCTAATTTCTTAATTTTTAATTGAATTTTGTCTCAGGCAGCTACTTTAAGACATCTCCTCTATGTTATTATGATTTGGCACTCATTAGTTGTATAAGTGTGTGGTGTTGCAAACGTGCAACACCTACACCAAGAAATTATTATTATTTTAAGCTCTCAAACAAGGCTTAGGAAACTTGAGGTCCCCCTCCCCTCAGCCCCTATAAAAAAATGTAAGGCCCCCCCCCCCCCCACTATAGGACACCTCTGCAACCTCAAATAGATATTTAGTCTTACGATGGCTTGGCAAGCAACTAGCTGGCAACTGAGCTACATCTCCTGGCTCTACAAGTGATCACCTGAAACAAAGCTGGCATATTTTTTATCTGTAGTCATCGTTTAATGTTAAAATTCTTTTGTTCACCATATCACCGTTGATATTGAAGGAAGAAGGTCAGAAGTCACATATTTCGTGAACTTCCATGCCCTTTTAACTCTGACCCTTTGAAAGAAGCATTGAGTATTTTAGGTCAGAGTTTCATAAAGCTGCAATGCACTCCTTCTTAGGCTCAGTGCATGCAGTCTGCTGAGGCACATTGAAAGATCAAGCTTACTCATGAACAAACGTTGAGAACACTAACTGCTGGCAAGAAATGTTTATTGCTGCAATATTGTTCTCCTCGGTCCGTGAGCCAGCGGTTAGTTATCTGGGTACACAGGCTACTCAAGAATGATCTAATGTTTATCATTACCGGGACAAAGTTATCAACTTTCAGCACTTCCCACTGTTGCACTTCAGAACCATCAAAATTGCATTCAGCAAACACACTTCTCACAGCAGACGAATTTGCTCCATCTCAAGTTGTCATGGTATCATAGCCAGGTTTTTCTCAGGTGACAGCCCAGTAGCTTGTGTCATTCGCTCAGTCTACCAATACATTCGACTCAGGCATGCCAAGGGCCATGAGGCCAGTTTCTTGCAGGATCGTAAGCAAGACTTGAGTTTTCTTTTTTGCTCAGAGTTGAAATAATCTATTCTACTCCTCGTGCACTTTGAAGTTTCACTCACAATTGCATGATTTTCTCCTCTAGGATACATCAGCTTAACTGCATGTTTATCTCGAGTTAGTATAGCGCACTCGATACATTTTACACATACATTATAATGAATAATCGATGCCATCAATTCACACTCTCGGCTTATAATTTATGTTTAGTGGTTATGTCCTCATTTGCAAACAATGAAAACAAATTTCCCAGCAGTGAGAAAATGACTCCTTACAGAGTGAAACTCCCAGTTCTTCTATTTTCTTTTGTTTCCCTTCTCTTTATCCATCAATGGAGCATAAGCCCTCAACCAACTCTCGCCAAGTCGTCTATCCTTTGCTATCATATGCAGCTCACCCCACATCCTCCCCCTTTTTTTTTCAAACTTTTTCTTCTTTTTTTTTTGGGTCATCTCACTGATGCCAGCTTGTAGCCCAGTGTCATGGTGAGTCGTCTCACTGATACTAGGTTGTAGCCCAGTGTCATGGTGAGTCGTCTCACTGATACTAGGTTGTAGCCCAGTGTCATGGTGAGTCGTCTCACTGATACCAGGTTGTAGCCCAGTGTCATGGTGAGTCGTCTCACTGATACTAGGTTGTAGCCCAGTGTCATGGTGAGTCGTCTCACTGATACTAGGTTGTAGCCCAGTGTCATGGTGAGTCGTCTCACTGATACTAGGTTGTAGCCCAGTGTCATGGTGAGTCATCTCACTGATACTAGGTTGAGCCCAGTGTCATGGTGAGTCATCTCACTGATTCTAGGTTGTAGCCCAGTGTCATGGTGAGTCGTCTCACACTGATACCAGGTTGTAGCCCAGTGTCATGGTGAGTCATCTCACTGATACTAGGTTGTAGCCCATTGTCATGGTGAGTCGTCTCACTGATACCAGGTTGTAGCCCCATGTTGTGGTTTTCTGTATTTGTCTTGTTCTTCTTGGATTGTTTGGGTGATGAATTTGTTCATTTTTTTGCAGGTTTCAGCGACACCACTTATGTATTTTTGGGGGGTCTTTCTCTCGCCTTCCTGCTGTTAAAAAAAATCTCATATACAATTTGTGTCTGGCTGCATTCTCACTAGATGGCCGAGCCAATTCATTCTTTGTCAGTCAATATAATTTAGACATGGTCTTATTTGAACTTCACTCTCTAGAAATTTCCAACTGCTGTTCGCTTTTTCAGAGCTAGACGTAGGCTGTATCTGATGTAGATTTGTTGATGTGATTACAGCCTGAAGGTCGAGGAAAGTACATCTTTGACATTGGATGTGAGCAACATGGGCGATACGTTTCTGTTTTGCTTGACAAGGACGACAATGAAGATGAAGATGATCCCTCTGCAAATTTGGTTCCAAAGTGGGAGGCTGGTGCAGTCACTGCTCTTCATGTGAAGACCCCAGAAGAGGAAGAAGAGGAAAGACTGTTGGAGGAAGCGGCCAGATTTAAAGCACAGCTAGGTAAGAGGGTAAAAGTAGGACAATCTGTACCCGTATTCACAAGTTTATTAGAATATTACACTTGTCAGAATTACTGTGACAGAATATACATTTCCTGCTGTCTCAGAAAATACGTTTTTTTTAAAAACAGATGTTAATTAAAAATGAAGTTGCATTAAAATTTAGAAATTATATGTATATATCAATCAGTTTATCCTGTACTGAACGTCACTCTCGTCCCGGCACGCCTGAAAGTCTCTCTTTCTTTAGTCAGTTCTCCAACCCTGTGTGCTTTCATAGCCAATGCATATTCAATGTCATAAAACCACCTTCGCTGAGGTCGGCCTCTGTCTTATTTTTTGAAAACTACATCCTCCATGATCGTTTTCTTTAGATCCCCATGGCGTTTGACATGTTTAAAATATCACGACATTCAGGGGAGGATGCTGTTTATGAGCCAGTTCTCATTGATGTCCAGGTCATACAGGATGTTGACATTTTTCTTTATCTTGGCCCAGAGTCTATGAAGTTTTCTGTAGCATTTCAAATCAGTTAACCCATACACATATAAATATATTTTTGTTGAATATATATATATATTAGAAATTGAAAAGAACTATGGAAACTTTCTTTGCCTTGAGAAATATTTTATTTATGTGGATCTTTGGCTTCAAGCAGGTCTATTCACTTGGCAGCCCACTGGCCGAACTTGGCCCGCGGAGCTCTAGCAAGTGGCCTGCGAATCATTGCCAGTTGTATTTTGTTAATGAACTTTCTATGCTGTGAAGATCTCCATTTTCAAAATGTTGGCCCCTGAGTAAACTTGCTTGAATAGTCCTGGCTTAGAGGGTAGTGAATGAGTTTAACAATATGGCCATCCTCAAGCACTAAGGTTTCATTTCCAAGACAGATTGTTTAACGTAAAAGTAAAGAACCCTTACCCCCACCTTCAGGCGTATTGGGCATATAGGGTTAGACCTATATTTTATAGACTAATTGGCACTCGATGAGTGATGTGTTCAACATTGCGCTGGCCACTTTTACTTCCCAGGGCTTTACCTGGTATCTATTTAAGGCTAAATCGACCTGAAAGCCAAGGTCATTAAAAGAAAGTTTGGCTCCTTCAGGCCCTGAACCTTTGGACCTATAGGTGAGCATCTAGTCGTTACACCAGCAAATAAAATTTTTTTTTTTAATGGTTTGAAGTTTAAAAAACAAGTTATTTTTTTTTTCTGACAACAGTACAAAAGTGGCACTGTGGAAGAAATGTGGGTCCACTTTATAATATTCCCCACTTTATAATATTCCCAACAACAGCGGTGGGTTCATTGTAGACAGTATTCACTGTCAATAAGGCACACACTATTTTTTTTTAAATGGGGTGAGCAGGTCTTTCTTTAGTCATTAAAGCTGACTAGAGAAATTTGGTGTGAAACTAGCATCCTCATCCCATAGGAAACTTTCGCTGCAAAAATCTGTCAGCTGATTTGAGTCAACAAGCAATACTACAGAACTCTGGGCATTCCCATAAAGCATTCTGCAGCAACCAGCAGACGGATCCAGTTCAGATGGTAGCAGTAGTAATTTGGTGTTGAATTTTTGAATAATTTTTGAATAAAGAATCAACATCATAGCACTCTGGACACTCCCATAAGCGCTCTGTCCCCATCTTTAGCAGCAAATGAAGAGTTTCAATTCTGATGACACCAGTAACTGTCTGATTGTATATCCGTCTCGCCTTTCCCTTGAGTTTTTAGTGTCGGTCAGATCCCCTGGAAGATCCCGCAGTGCCATTTTTCTCTGACCGTAATGATCTATTTGTGCTTTCACACTGTTCACTCACTCCCAGAGGGCCCTCACAACATCCAGCTAGCTTTTCATACATCAGTTCACCACCAAGTGGTGCAGAACTGGCTAGTCTATCTGCCTGCTCATTTCCTAACACACCGGCGTGACCTGGAGGAATATCCAAAGGATGTTAACTACCGGGGACCTCTGAAGTGATGCTTGTTACTCTGCACGGAGCATGCTTGTCTCCACCTTTCTCAATATGCTCTGTGAGTCAGTTACAATCACGGCATGTGTGTACAGCTGATTTTCAAGCCAGTAGAATGCAGCAGTGACTGCCTCCACCTCCATTCTCAAACTAGACATTGTAATATATGCCAGGCATTGTTGCACTAAGCGACGTCAATTCACTTTTGCTATGAACCCCCATGCGCTTCATCTGCACCTCAGCACAGAGCCATCTGCATAGATAATCACATCATTTGGGCAGGAATTGAAATAGTAAGTCATTTATTACATTGCCAGCTAAATGCCTACAAGGGAAAGAATTGGAATGTTTGGACAAGACTGAGAATGACACATACCTGCAGCCTTGCAATTAAATTTTGGTTGTGAAAGGTTTTTGAATTCTCATTTGAGAGAAATTTACTGGATTTAGCAACAAACCTGACAAAAGTCTGCAGTATAGTTCATTTTATAATGATGATGATAATTGATGTGGTGTCTTCATTGATCTTCCCCAGAAGCTGAAGCAATTGCCAAAGCAGCCGAGGAAGAACATTCCAGACAGGAGGAAGAGAGGCTAGCAGCAGAAGCAGAAGCGGCCGCTGAGTTAGAAGAGGCAGCAGCTGCTGCAGAAGAAGACAGAATGGGGGATGATCCTGCAGAAATGAATGAGGCGGGAGGAGACACCGGAAGATTTGAAGAGGGAGACGGAGAAGGTGTTGCAGATGATACGGATGAGACAGCACCCCAAGCTGATGGAGAAGAATAGAAAAGAAAAAAACTTCCCCCATTTTGTTTGTATAATTTATATCAGGCATATATTATCAGCTGGCCTGTTTTTTTTTTTTTTTTTTTGGTAGACAATAATCCAAATGGAAATTAAACTTACAAGATAAATACACTTTGGCTTGCTTTTATGTATGGTGTTTTTCATGATATTATTTTTTTACTTTGGATGCTTCTTCTCCTCCTGTCTCATCCTCCTCCTCTTTTTTTCTTCTCCTCTCTTCCTCTCCCCATTTCCTCTTCATTTCCTTCTTCTGCTACTTCTTCTACTCATCCTTCTCCTCTTCATCTGCATTGTCCTCATCCTTCATTCTTCTTCTTAATCTTTTTCTTATTCTCCTCCTTCTTCTACAACTACTTCTCCCAGTCCTTCTTTTTGTCCTCTATCTAATTTTTCTTCTTCATTTTCTTCCTTGTTAATGATCAAATCTCCCATTTCTTCCTTATTGATGATCAAATCTCCCATTTCTTCCTTGTTGATGATCAAATCTCCCATTTCTTCCTTGTTGATGATCATATCTCCCATTTCTTCCTTGTTAATGATCAAATCTCCCATTTCTTCCTTGTTGATGATCAAATCTCCCATTTCTTCCTTGTTGATGATCAAATCTCCCATTTCTTCCTTGTTGATGATCAAAATCTCCCATTTCTTTCTTGTTGATGATCATATCTCCCATTTCTTCCTTGTTGATGATCAAACCTCCCATTTCTTCCTTGTTGATGATCAAATCTCCCATTTCTTTCTTGTTGATGATCAAAATCTCCCATTTCTTTCTTGTTGATGATCATATCTCCCATTTCTTTCTTGTTGATGATCAAACCTCCTATGTTAATGGTATCAATGAAAACAGTAATCAGTGTCAGTTGCATGTCAATTGCTCAAACTAGATGCTTTGGGTCGAAAGAGGTAGACATCATAGCCCTGCTATAAAACACAATACAACATGTCAACTACAAATTATAAAGGCAAAATGCAGTGGGGGGAAAAAGAGATGCCAGCTTTATCAAAATATCACACGACAGAGATGAGTGGAGAGGTCTTGGAAGCCAATATTAGTTCCAGACCAGACACTAGAAGAAGAAGGCATCAATCATCCACCCCTGCTCAGGACCTCATACACATCTGAAGTCAATTTTATCAGGTGTTCCTTTGATTGGCTGCAGTCTCAAGCGAGGATGCAGAAATGAGGCTCTTTGGGTAGTCTGCCAGCTATTGGTGGTTGCCTTCAGGATTGCAGAATCCATCTCAGGCTGATGGCATGAGTAAGCATGGGGTAAACGACCTGTCATGGAGGAGAAGAAAGTACTTAGTTGCACAATTTTACTTAACTCACTGGTCAACAAATTTTCAAAAGTTTGTTTTTTCTTGTGTGAATTTAAATACATAATTTCTGATTGACTTTGATTTGCTGATTTCAAATATGATTATTAAATTTACAGATTGGATCATTTTTTTTTTTTAAATGACAAATTTACCTTACATTAACACAAATAATGTATGCTTTTGTAAATCCCTGGAGTGAACAGTTAGTTTTTCTATTTTAGCTTTATAAAAATTGTTGTTGCATACTCAGTTAATAGATATTTCAACACAGAATGATAGAAACAATAAATAACAAATACTTTAAGTTTACATATAATGTTTTGAAAAGAACCATTTGAACCATTTCCATCATTATTCAGGTGCCATTCGAGCTCTCTTTGCTTGCTTCCTGTAGTCAATCGATAAAATGTCTCTTGTCACAGTCCAGGAGTAATCAGCAAGCATTGAAGGGCTCCAGTTACCTTCATATCTTGTCTCCATAGCAGCAATGTCCTAATAAAATCATTCATCATGCTCATCAGTGACAGCTCAACAGTTTGATGTAAAGAAATACAGATTAAAATAAAGAAAATTAATTTTCAAAGACATGTTGCAGCCAAGACTCTCATACTTCAGAAGATTTTCTAGTCTCATTGTAATTATCAGATCTGTTGTTTGCAAGAAAATTGTCCACCACTGACTTAAATATTAGCATTCTGCTTTTTCTTTACCCTTTAAACTGCAAAGAGATTTGCTGATAAAATATTTGAAAGCAACATTTTTCATGAGACTCAGCTTAATGTGCAAGAGTGGCAAGAAATTTTGCTGGTGTCCAAAAGTGCGGGGTTTTTAATGTTCTTACAGCCAGGCTGCAATGACCGCCTGATTGGCCAATGTCTTCTGACGTAATGGTCATGTCAGACATGGCAACCCTATTCACAGAGAAAGCAGCAGTACTTGGTATATCCACCCCGCAGTCCAAGCAAAAGAGCAACTACTTTTCAATTGCCGCAGAGTGACCAGTGATGATGATTGTAGTTTATACACTTCAAAAGATGCTTAATGTTTTCATAAGTTTATTTAATGTGAACTGCATAACCCACTGGAACTGATGGTAATACATTACCATTATTCAACAAAACAACTTTAAGACTCATCTTGGATGAATCAATGAAAAGCCTCCACTCTTCCAGTTTGTAATTAATTTTTTAGGGCTGCCTTAAGCTCATAAATGTTGTGGCATGCAATAAGGTCACCTTTTTTGAAAAACTAGAATATATAAAACGGTTTCTGCTGCTTCCTATACACAGAAATTCTAACATCTTCTGTAAGAAGATTCCACTGTTGTAATCTGGAACCCAAATGCTCTGCTTTGTTATTCGGTTAATTCAGATGTCTTACAAGATTATTCAGTTTTCTTTTGGTTATTAAGTGTGGTTTAGTGGATGTAGTTTGGTCAAAATCTGGGTCGCTTGAGGTTGGTAGTTCAAGGCCACCAATGTCCTCTTCTTCATCAGCGGATGGAGTTAAAAATAATTCTGGCACTTTGGGTACTGGTAGGTTATCGCCATCTGGTACCGGATGTATTGCAGAGGGGTTGTTAGGATACTCCAAAGTCCATTTCTTCTTCTTTAACATGCCTTTCCCAGTTGGAGGAACCATGCAAAAGTAACAGTTGTTGAGACGATCAGTGGGCTCTCTCCAAATCATTGGGACTGCAAAAGACATAGCTTGGATTCAACAGGATATTTCTGTGAAAATTACAACTACTGCCAGAACAAGACCAAAGTGCAGAAGTGGACGAACAACCAGAACTTTCTGCTGCAGGTTACAGCTGGTGAATGCAAAGAAAAAGAAAAAGAGATTGGGAGCTTTACTAGAGCAGTGACTAGTGTGCTTGCTTTCAGTGGTCACAGGTTTGAATCCTGTTTGAGGAGTGTTTGTTCTTTTGGCTTAGGTTGCCAGGTTGGTTCATCATAAAAAATACCATTAAATATCTTGGGAAGAAAATGCTGTAAGCATGATGCTGACCATATGAACTACTACTTCTTCTTCTTCAGCAATCAGTGACTGCCATATGTACATTCCAATATGGGTCATAGATAGCATGGTTACTTAAGGTTTTTACTGGCACCATAGTGTATCTTTAGTTTATCTTGCAAGGATGTTCCTGTAGGCCAGATTTCTTTGCTCTGACTTGCAAAGTCTGGACAGGCCAGTAAAACATACTCTGCAGTTCGTGTTGATAAGCCACAACCACTTGCAGCAGATTCAGCAATATCCATTTGACTTGGGTGAGTGTGCTCTGGGTTTACAGTTGAGTGAAAATTTTGGCCCAAACATTTCTGCTAAGTTTATGCTGTCAAAATTATCCACTGCTTCATTACATCTATATAGTGTTTTTTAGAGGTAGACAAAGTTCATGGGGGGTTCTAGCAAAAGTGAACGGACATAGCTTAAAGCAACAATGCCTTGTATATGACAACATCTAGTTTGAGAATGGAGATTGAGGCAGTCACTGTAGCCTTTCACTGGCTTGAGAATCAGCTGTACACATATCATAATATAGAGTGGTTTGGCCACTTGATGCGAATGCAAACCGACCAACTGCCTCTACGAGCATACAACGAACAGCACTATTGCCTTAGAGCAAGAGGCAGACCGAGAGTACGATGGATAGACAATATATCAGAGATCCTGAGGCAACACAGACTAACAACAACACGTGCAACACACCTGGCCCAGGATAGAAAACTGCGACTCCCCACTACGCTGTGGGGCAATTGTGGACAAGACAAGACATATCATAATTTTAACTGACTCACACAAAGTATGTTGAGAAAGGTAGAGTAGGAACTCTGAAGATGGGGATGGAGTGCTTATGGAAATGTTTCCAGTGCTGTGCTGTCGATTCCTAATTAAACAATAAACATGTAAAAACTCTCAAAATACCTTTAATCAGTTTCAAATCTGTTGGATATCGATGTAGTTGAGACTTGTTGTAAGCCTCAGCGTATGTGGTTAGATAATGATGACTTAGCTGAAACAAACGTGTCACCAAACATGATAATTCATTCAGTAATTCTATGCTGGAGTTGGTAATGTTTTACCAAATCTATGTTTGCTTCCTTTCTGTTTAGCGATCACATCGTGAGTGATTTGGGGACATCCAATATTATAGGGGGGTTAGGGTTAGAGTTAGTGTTAAATGAATGGCGACTACTACTAACATAACCCCCCCCCCCCCCCCCCCCCACCCCCCCCCCCCCAACCCTTTCTTATAATATGGGATTTCCATAGATCACGGGTGGTGTCGTCGCCTACTAACAGAAAAGAACCCTATGTTTTTATTCAGCGTATCCGATAAGTTCCCATACCCAAAAATAAAAGCGGGTGGGGGGAGGGGCATATTACCAACGTCATTACAATCATAACTCCAGTTGTTCTTATACGTTTTCTTCAGCACTGGAGGATACAGGCATGTAGAGCAGTGTTCTTAAACCTATGGGCCGCGACCCATTGGTGGGCCACGGAATAGTTTATGTAGGCCCCTAGCCATTTCTGCTTAACCATGTAAGAGGTTATACATCTATACGTATATGGGATAAACACCTTTGATGAGAATCACACTTTTTTTAAATCTGGAAACTTCATTCAACTGCGTAAAACAGAAAACTGAACATCACTCCCTGAGAATGAGGATGTACGTAAAGGCAACATTTGGAATAATAGTTCCCTTTTTTGGAAATATAAGATCACTCTCACTTGATCATCATAAAACAAGAAAAGTTGATCGAGTTGTCTGCTGACACAATTGTTGTGTCCATGTGTGATGACCCTGCTTTGCATGGTCTCCACGAGTACATTGTGGCAAGCAGGAAGTCCGTGCTACAAGTGACAGCACGAGATACTTGTGGCCGGTGGAGTAAGCGAGGGGCAGCCCGAGCTAGCCTCGTGGTCAGTGGATCATCAGAAGTCAGTGAAGACGGTTGTAGTAATTGAAGATGTAGTTTTTATGTGGTGAATGGTTAGTGTTCGAATATGTCGCGAGGGAAATAAATGGACCAGAATAAACTGACAGAATGTACAAAGGAGCTGAGCGGCGTTTGTGTTGTCAACCCTAGACGTTAAAGCAGTGCAAGTTTTGTAGCAGTAAACATCCAGAGAGTGAGCCGTGGCTAAAGCCAATATGTAGTGAGTCAAGGTGCATGACGAGTAAAGCCGGTGCAAACCAAGGTTCATTCCAAGTGAAGCATCGCTTCATTACACCATGGATGTAAAGAAATAAATAATTGTCCGAGTTTTGGAGATAAAATTTTTTTTTTTTTTTATCTCTGACATATAATTTTCAGATAGTTGGTTTCCCCCTTCATATTTGTGTGAAAAGGGAGCTGCGTGGTCTCGAGGCATGGTGTCCGCCTCGAGTGCTAGAGGTTCCGGGTTCAATCCCCGTTAAGAACTGGGATTTTTTCACGCGGACTTGGACTCGAAGTATTTCACCCCCCCCCCCCCCACCCCCTTTTTTTTTCCGAAAAAATTGTTGCGCACGTTAAAAAAATCCCTTGGTAGTTGGAAATAGAATAGAGTAGCCTAACGGCGCTGCCCGGGAAAAAAAAATTAGACAAACACATTGTTTACCTGTGAAGGTAGAGGCGTCATCTTTTTAATTTCTTTCAGATCAAACCTCTCTTCGTTGTAATTGCCGACAAGAACACCTGAATTATAAGTATCTTCATTGTTGGTGCTCCGCCAGCCATACTGCCGCATCTTTAGGTTCCTCATTAACATGCGACCAGGCTTCACTTCCACCTGTGGCCCCTCTAATCATGCTACAGAAGATTGGTAGTTTTGAAAGATCTCTGGCCTTTCGTCTCAGCCTGAGGGGCCGGGGGTGACCAAGTGTCGCACATCCTTTGATAGAAGACAAGCAGATTTGTGTTCTGTCCTGTCATAATAATATGAAACACATTATACAGTTTGGTCTCGAGGCATGGTGACCTCGCCTCGAGTGCTGGAGGTCCTGAGTTTAAGTCCCGGCGAAGGCTGGGATTTTTTCACGTTTACTTCTAGTAATTGTCCATGGCCTCTGGGAAATAAGATCGGACGCCCGTGTGTATTGTTGCGCACGTAAAAAATCCCTTGGTAGTTGGAAATCGAAAAGAGTAGCCTAACAGCGCTGCCTGGGCAAAGTTTGGAGTAAAAATCGACCCAAAGTATCCTGAAAACCCAGCCTTCACCGGACTTGAACCAGGGACCCCCAGCACTCGAGGAGGACTCCATGCTCTGAACTCATCAGCGCCCCTACCTTCAATAAAATAAGAAAATATTGGGGGCGCCCCTCCCCCAGCCACGCCCGTCGTCATGGTTAGTTCTGCGCATGGCATTGATAACATCGTTCCGGTCCAGTACTGGACTAGTCATGACAATTGCAGTCTCGGCAAGATAATCTGCACGCTTGTTTCCTGAACACCTATATGACCTGGCACAAAGATGAAGGTTAGGGCAAAGTGCTGCAATCCATTCTTGTCTGACAAAACCAGCCTGGATTTTTTAAAGCATATTTATCAAGTTACTAAGTATGCACGCATGTGTGAACTCTTGAGTACCAAGCCATGCTAATGCCCCTGTTACAGCCATAGTTTTCATGGTGAAGCTGCTAGTCGTAACAGCAAAGGCGCCATTCATCTCCTTGATGGTTTTCCCCCTTGAGCTTACTGTAAATGCCCATACATTTCGTTTGCCCCAAATTACTCATCCATCTGTGTAAACTACAGCATCACCTTCCTTTGTTTTTTTTTTCCTCAATCAGTGTTCTGGGTACAGTATCCACAATGCCAGGAACCTGCTCTTTTCAGCTTCCATCAAGTGTTATGTTGACGATAGTGTTAATGTTTGGTGCAGGAGGCGTGGGGATCCATTCAGTTCCAAAATTAATCTCATTTTTCAATCAATCAATGTCATATCTACAATAAAAGTATGCTGCCGTGTTATCTCCAACAGTAGGTCTCTTACTCTGGCTTCAAGTCCTCTTAGACTGCCTCAGTCCATCACTTGCTATGAGGATAATCTGTCGATTAACTAACTAACAACTGAATCAAAAGCTTACATGTACAAGGGATTGCGGTTGCCTTGGTGATGCGCCCTTTTGAGGAATGAAATTAAAAAATTAAAAATAAATGTGTACTTGTTAGCGAAACTAATCTTCCTTCTTAGACCAGCTGTCAACCCAGGCAGATATCTAGATTAGAAGCAGATTGCAACAAAACATGGAAGGATAAGATCAAGTGATGGACTGAGGCAGTCTAAGAGGACTTGAAGCCAGAGTAAGAGACCTACTGTTGGAGATAACACGGCAGCATACTTTTTTTTGTGTAGATATGACATTGATTGATTGAAATAAACACAATACATCCGTGTTTTTGTTTTCAAATTGTATTAATTTGAATGTAAGTTAAGTTGACTATATTTATATATAATTTTTTAAAAAAATCTGCCAGTAACCAAGACGTCATTAAACTGGGTCAAACCCGACCGAGTGTAGCAAAACTTGGTGACCTGGTTCTTTCTAGTTTTCCTGATCTAGACAAACTACGTGCTTTTGTCACGTTTGTCTACTGTATAGTTGATGTCAGTTTAGTTTCGGCTGGCGATGAGTTTTATTGTGTAAGGATTTCTCGATAAGTGTCCAGTCTCCTCTCAAAATCACATCATGACATCTCGATATCCAATAAGTGAAAGAAATGGACCCTTTTCCATGCACTGACAATTTTGTTTATATAGCGCTAGACGTACATTTATAGACTTATCGCAACTCGGCGGGTGATGTGGTCAACATCACGCAGGCCGCCTTTACTTCCCGGGACATTACCTGGTAACCATTGTAGGCTAGGTCGACCTGGCAGAAAATATTTTTTTTAAAAATCCGGTTCGATGCGGGTTGAATCCACGATCTCCGGGCCGATTGACGAGAGTCTAGCCGCTACACTAAGGTGTATCAATGGGAGATGAGGTGTATCAATGGGAGATGAGGTGTATCAATGGGAGATGAGGTGTATCAATGGGAGATGAGGTGTATCAATGGGAGATGAGGCGTATCAACGGGAGAAGAGGCGTATCAACGGGAGAAGAGGCGTATCAATGGGAGATGAGGTGTATCAATGGGAGATGAGGTGTATCAATGGGAGATGAGGTGTATCAATGGGAGATGAGGTATATCAATGGGAGATGAGGCGTATCAACTGGAGAAGAGGCGTGTCAATGGGAGATGAGGCGTATCAACGGGAGAAGAGGCGTATCAACGGGAGAAGAGGCGTATCAATGGGAGATGAGATGTATCAATGGGAGATGAGGTGTATCAATGGGAGAAGAGGCGTATCAATGGGAAAAGAGGCGTATCAATGGGAGAAGAGGCGTATCAGTGGGAGAAGAGGTGTATCAATGGGAGATTAGGTGTATCAAATGAGAGAAGAGGCGTATCAGTGGGAGAAGATGTGTATCAATGGGAGAAGAGGTGTATCAATGGGAGAAGAGGTGTATCAATGGGAGAAGATGCGTATCAATGGGAGATTAGGTGTATCAAATAAGAGAAGAGGCGTATAAATAGGAGAAAAGGTGTATCAATGGGAGAAGAGGCGTATCAATGGGAAAAGAGGCGTATCAATTGGAGAAGAGGCGTATCAATGAAAGAAAATGTGTATCAATGGGAAAAGAGGTGTATCAATGTGAGAAAAGGTGCATCAATAGGAAAAGAGGTGTATCAAATGGAGATGAGGTGTATCAATGAGAGAAGAGGTGTATCAAAGGGGAGAAGATGTGTAAAACAGGCACATATATTTTGGCTTAAAAAAACACGAGTCTCGCCTCTAGAATAGCAGACGTAGGATTGACATTTAAGGATGAGAATCGAAAAGTTACACATCCCAGAACCCCGTTCACCCCCCCCCCCCCCCCCCCCCCCCCCCCCTCCCCCCCCCCCCCCAAAAAAAAAAAACGGGACTGTCAGAGTTAAAACGGGACACATGGTCACCTAATTCTAAAACCTTTGAATGCCTACTAAAAATTGTTTTTGTTCGTATCATTAGCCCGGGGTGGTGACGTCAGATCAAGCTGATGGTTTGAAATGAATTCTGTCCGTATTCCGTAGTTGTGGATTTCAAGCTGTACGATAGATATGGCCAATAAGACACCTTTTTCTTGGGGGTGCCTAGTTGACCATGCTCTTAGTGCACTTGTTTCCATAGCGAGGCGCACACACCGTCTGGAAGTGACAGGTTGGATTTCCGCCACGGTAACTATAGCTTTCGATTTTGATGTTGTCTAGTGTGTTCTTATATCTTTCTACTTCTTTCTATAAGTGCCTATCAATACATTTACTGATACTATATTAGTGTATATGTTGTGAAACATGTGGATATGCACGTGTTGCATGGTATACAATAACACACTCAGTGGATAAGCAGTCACTGTGAACTCGAAGATAAGATACCATCTTGTCTACTATCCCCCCCCCCTTTTCAAAAACTGAATGTTAAACGGCAGTAATTAAATAAGAAGAAATGAACAAAACAGAAAGTGTGAAAGATAAGGTTTTCAAGAACATGCCATCACAAGAGAAATAATGGACGTTACGAATGCACAAGATTTCATTTGCCAACAAACACAAGAGTGTATATTTGTAGCACGTGTTTCCCTGTGGTTTAGACGAGTGTAAAATAAATTACCTTAATTTTGTTTTTTATTCGCTGGTTTCGGGTAATTTTGTTGTTGAGAAACCAGTGTCGACCCAGTAATAACTAGTTTAAGAATAAAAGTAATTAGAATTGTGAATTAGCGTAACAATTATCAGATTAAATTTTATGTTAACATCGGAAGAGTGCCAATTATTGTAATAATTACTTTAAGAACTAATATAATAATTATTACAGGAATTGATTTAATAATTAGTTTGAGAAATGATGTAATTGTTAGTTTGAGAACCACTGAGGTCGTGCATTGACCCCCGTCTGTCCCCTGAAAAAAGGGGAAATATAGGCTAACCAATCAAATGTGGTTTAACTTTATCTCCAGCCAATCAGCGCCGGGGAATCAAACAATGTATCGGGACACGAGACAGGAAAACATGGGTCAAGAGCAGACGACAGACATAGTTTGGACGCATTTCTAGGACTCTTGTGACTTTCTTTTAGTTGTAATTGTGCCTGTTTAGTCAGACAGAATGGCAGCATCGTACGATTACAGTTGTTCCAATTCTTCTTCATCCTCGGATACTGAATATTCCAGAGAACATCTTGAGGATCTGTCTTACGGAGATTTGGACACGATCCCCAACTGCATCCACCCCAGAGCCAGCGCTTTGCATTCTCTTCAGTTGGACAACAACAACATCGCTAGTCTTCCAAGCACCATCGGACTCTTCAAACGGCTGATCGTTCTCGATATTTCAGCCAACAACATGACTTCTATCAGCAACGACATTTGCCAGCTGCAGAAATTAAGAACTCTTATTGCCAAAAACAACAAGCTGACCAGCGACTCTTTCCCCAAAGATTTTGGATTGTTGACCTCTTTAGAAGTAATTAACGTCAGTAGCAATCAGATAAAATCTTTTCCACCTCAGTTCACAGAGCTGGAGAAGCTACAGGTGTTGCATATTGGAGGTAACTTGTTGACCGAACTGCCTAGCACAATAAAATATCTGGCAAGGTATGATTCAGAACTGATCAGCTGTTATGCATTGTCACATTGTATATAGAGCTTTCGTAATCACAGATATCCAATGTCTCTTTATTGTATAAATAACTTCGGTTGTACGTATTAGTATTATTGAACCAGTTGTTGTCCTTTGCCTATTTTTGTAACAGTTTGTGATATTAAATTATAATTTTAATGTTCTAAGTCTCAGACTGTTGTTTAGGGGCTGTTTTATAAGTCAGATACACGAGGGTTAACAGACAGCTTCAGGCATTCATGGGGACTGGGTCGTCCATTAGAGGACTTTTTTGTGGGTGGGACAGAATTAGGGTCTGTTTCCTTTGATCCCATCAACGCTGCAAGCATCTTTTTTCAGGGCTCTTGGTGGGGTGCAGTGCTAAGCCATTTTTCATCGCCCATCAACTGAGATAACTGTATGATGTGACACTGTAAGCTACAGATTTTATTTGAAGTGCTTTTCTACTGCGTCCAGTATGTCTGTGTTGTGAACGGCACATTCAGAATGGCGATGACATGTTGAGAACTGGTGATGCCTTATGTGATTAATTGCTTGTGCATCTACTGATCTCTTGTAGTTTCTGCTTCCAGCGACAGTGAACTGGATTTCAATTGTCTGAATTTTTGTGTTATCACCTATCTGATGCCTTTGCATTTAGAGGGAGATGCCTCTGGATTTAGAGGGAGATTCCTTTGCATTTAGAGGGAGATGCCTCTGCATTTAGAGGGAGAGAGAGAGAGTGTGTGTGTGCATGCAAGTGGACAGTTGGCTTTGTTGAGACTGTGGTCTGTCTCATTTCTTGTTATCGCAAGGGACAGTGATGGACATTCCATGTGGGTTTTGTTGCCACAGAAACTGGGCAGCTATGGGGTGACCCATTGGCTATGAAGTTGGAACTGATTACCCGATTACTTTATTGTCATTGAAGACACAAAGAGAAACTCAGCACACGACACAAACTCTGTGGTGCTGGGGAGGATGAGAATAAAACATGCACACATCCAGGAAACTCCATTCAACCGTATAAGGCAGTTATATTAGGGCACCTGTCCCCATGTGGGTTCCCAGGCCCTATTGTGGGGAAAGCAAGAAAAGACCCACTGCTTACCCAAAAGCATGTTGTGAGAGTTGACTGATTGGGAGCTTCATTTTAAGTCAGAGCACATCTGCCTGAGAGAAAGGAACCAGCAGTCTGCATGCAGATGAGTCAGATCTGTGAAACCAATGTGCTGGAACAGGACTAAAGTCCAGAAGTGGACGAACATCCAGAACCTTCCGCTGGAGTTTTTAGCCAGTGAACGCAAAAAGATGAGGAAGAAGATATTGGGGCATCACAATACAGTTACAAGGTAACCAGCGGTCCAAGATGGACGATAAAGTTGAGCATAGCCCTTCTTCCAACATTATTCAGCAGATGTCTAGCTGTAGGCTAGTTGGTTGTAATTTCCTGTGAAAAGACGAGATAGCTAACCAACCTTCCTTAGATGTCCCTTATGACTTGCATGGTGTAGCCCAATCTTACCTTGTGGGACCTGGTTATAGGCAGGAGACTTTTATCTTGGCGTAAATATGTTATTATTTCTCTGCCATCTTGGAGTCACCAACTGGAAAGAGAAGGCCAATCATGAAGAATAATGGAGGCTAGTGATATCTGCAGCTACGACCTCAACAAGAAGAAGTATATATAATGTATGTAATCACTGTAGGTTGCAAGTCCTGTATCTGGGGGGAAACAGACTGACAGAAATCCCTGCGGATGTTGGCTGTTTGAATGAGCTGACATCTCTAGTGCTTTGTGATAACCGCCTTCAGAGCCTGCCGCCGACTCTCAACAACTTGCACAAGCTTCGTAGTCTCAGTCTTCACAACAACAAACTTTCAACTCTGCCTCCGGAGATCGTGGCCTTGAACCTCGTGGAGCTAAGTCTCAGGAACAACCCTCTGGTTGATCGGTTCGTCCAGGTGGGTACACTTGTTGGCCTAGTTGTGGATTTCGTTCTAACAGTTGATGATATCAATTAATCCCACTGAACTGTGACCTCAAAGCTTGATTGGGGGAGGGGTTGGGCATGAGGGCAGAGATGATAAGTTCGTCCAGTAGTTGTTGTTGTTGTCTTTCTTATTTGGTGATAGAGTCCTAGAAAAACATAAAAACAAAATTACATTATGAGAGATGAGATGTATAAGTAATACAGCGGGAAAAATGAGGAGAGACAGAGTCACAAACAAAGGACTAAGAACAGTGGTAGGCACAGGTAAATGATTTCATAGAACAATAGGTTAGTTGCGTATCCTTTTCAGGACGTTGCAGAACCAACCCTAACAGCCCCCCACTGTTGTGTGGTTTTTCTAGGCAAATTTACGTCCAGTAGTTTGCCATTGCTTTCTGGACGGTCGGCTTTTCTTGATACCACTGTCGAAACTAACAGAAGGCACATGGCTGGGATCGAACCCGGCATTACGAAGCGTTCGCATGGACTAAGCCACAGAGCCGACCATAGAACAATATAGATTAAAATTGTTTGGTCATCTTGTCATAGTGGATGAAAATCATCCAGCAACTAGAGTATATTACCTGAGAAATGGGCAAGAGGTCGACCAAGAAAGATATGGTTGGAGGGAGTAAACTAGACAGTACAGAAGCGTAATATGACCTAAATCTTACTTCTCTCTGTGCTATGCTATACTGCATAAGCACTAGGACAAAAGAAAGAATGTGATAGTGTAATCATGTAAGGTCTGGAGACAAAGGTACAGGGGATATGGCGACACTATAGACTCAAACAGGCAAGAAGAAATCTAATCAAACAATGTAGTTGGTACCATCAGAATTGGAAATCTGCGTTTGTTGCTAAAGATAGGAATGGAGCGCTTATGGGAAGGTCCAGAGGCCTATGTTGTCAATTCTAAACTCAATGCAGCACAACCTTTGTACTATCTGTATTCAAGAGTTCAATCTGGCAATGTGGACTTTCATTAAAGCCAGTTGCACCATGCTTATCATTCTTTCTGTACACCGCCTTATCACATTCTCCCAGAGATAAACAAGACTAGTGGAGGTTAAAAACACTTATCAGGACTAATCAGTTTCATCTCTCTTGTACAAGGACCCACAGGATATGCAGAATAATAACAGTGTAGTCTCCATATTCCATGTGTGGGTTCTAGGGTCCCATTATGGGGGTTAACAAGAATAGATCCACTTCCCCCTAACAAGCATGTCTTAAAAGTCAACTAATTAGAGGTGTTTTTGTCAAAGTTGGAGTGCATCACCTGAGAGGTGGGAAGCCAGCAGTCTGCATACAAAACAACAGCCACAAAAAAAAAAAAAAAAGAAAGATTTGTAAAATGACTGTGCATGCAGAACTGAAGTTCTTGAACAATACAAAAACCAGAAGTGGACAAACAACCAGAAATTTCACCAGGAGCTTGCAGCAGGTGGCTAAGAAAATGAACTCTCCAAACATCAGAATAAATGTTAGTTGAAGACAAATTAAAAATGAAACAATGAATGATTGTTTTTGTATTTAACTCTTATGGTACTAAGGAACACATTATGATTTGATTTATTACTAGTTTACCTGTCCTCTAGTGCTCAAAGAGTTAAGCATGGTTCCAACATGTGAAAGAAGCTATGACAGGACGGGTCCTGCTAAATTCTGACAGCCAGTGGGTTCCTGGAAGAATAAATATCCACACCTTAAAACATTTGCTGCCAGAACCATGGACAAGCAAGCCAGAGAAGGCAAATGTAGTCCTAAAGGTACCAGGGATCACTTCAAAAGATGCCCAGATGGAGACACAACAGAGAACCCTGGCTCTTGCTATGCTTGATGAGAAGTATCCAAACACCACTTTGACTCAGTTTTTCACCGACGGTTCTGCTACAGATGCAGTCAGAAAGGGGCGTTGTGGAATATACATTAAACCCCCTAGCAGTAGAGCAGAAACTCTGTCTCTACCAGCAGGTGACATCTGCACTAACTTCAGAGCTGAGGCAACTGCCCTCCTTTCTGCAGTCCAACATCTCATCACTCAAGAATACAGAGGACACAAAGTTGTTATACTTAGTGACTCATTGTCTGTTCTCCAAGCACTATCAAGCAAAAAACAAGACAAACTATTTGCAGATCTAAGGACCAACATTGGCTTACTCTCCAAGGAAGCAGAACTGGTCTTGCAGTGGAAACCAGCCCACTGTGGCATTCAAGAAAATGAGAGAGCAGATGAGTTGGCAAAAGCTGGGAGTAATCTTCCACAACCTCATCCACCACACAGCTACAAGGAAACCAAAACAGCGCTAAAGCAGTCTTTCAAGCGGGAGTGAAGAAGGCAGAATGGAGATTACAGACCAGAGAGTGACAGCATAAACAAACTCAACAGAAAAGAACAAACATCATTTTTAGACTTCGGGCAGGACACTGTGGTCTTCAAGCACACCTGTACAGGATAGGCATAAAAGAATCTGCTGGGTGTGATTGTGGAGCAGAAAGGCAGACCCCTGAGCAAATACTGCAGTACTGCCCTAACCTCTCCCAGCAAAGACTGTGGATCTGTCCCAAGGGAGCCACATTGCAAGAGAAGCTATGGGGAACCGGTGGCGACCTTAAACGCACAATCCTATTTTTGACCCAGACGGGACTCAATGTTTAGCATGACTGATGTCGAACGCAGAAGAAGAAGAAGAAACATTTGCTGATGGAGATGGAGCACCTGTAGGTTTGCTCTCAGTGCTTTTATCTCAAACCACCAATCCCGGCACAAGATGACTGCTGTAATATGGACAGACCAGAACAAGTCAGTGTCCTGTGCCTCAGAACAGGGCACAACAGATTACGCAGCGGCGTGAATGCAGAACTTACAACTGGTGTATCAGCCATGTCCACTTGTGAATTGTTGCCCCGGACAGCAGGACACATACTCCAAGACCACTCAGATTAGCATACATCTAAAAAAAAACTTATTTTGGCCAAAAGAAAACAGCAGAAAGTAAACTTTATGGACCACTAAATGAACTAAAAGTGATAGGGAAATTTATTCAAGAGACATTTATAGACATAGACAACTTATTTCAGGCGAAAGAAAGAAGAAGAAGAACTAAGTCTTTCGTGAACTGTAAAATTTCCTTCAGCTTTGTCTGGTAAACATTGTAGATGTTTAACGGCAATGGTTTTTTCTTCAGGATCTGGTCTACAACCCTCCATCATTGTTAGAGCTGGCAGGTAGGGTCATCAAGATAGAGAAGGTGCCCTATGCCAGTGGTGACCTGCCACACAGCCTGGCCCGCTACCTGGACTCGGCACAGAGGTGTGTCAACCCAGAGTGTAAAGGTGGGTGCAAGTGATACATATTTCAAGTATAAAAGTGAGGAAGTGACAGATATTCCAAGTATAAACATGTGAAAGTGACGGATATTCCATATTTAGAAGTGTGGAAGTGATGGATATTCCATATTTAGAAGTGTGGAAGTGATGGATTTGCAGGTATACAAGTTTGGAAGTGAACCAACAGTCAGCATACAGTAAGCCAGATCTGTAAAACAGACGTGCATGCAAAACTCTGTTCTGAAACAAGACCAAAGTCCAGAATTGGGTGAACAACCAGAACTTCCTTTCAAAGTCTACAGCCGATAAAGGCGAAGAAGAAATCCTTGGTAAGGCGATGGAAGTTTTTCTGTCAGGGGAAAATAAACATCCTAACCTACAGTCTGTAACGTCTGCACTAGCTTTGTGGCCCTAAAACCTTGTGCTGAAGACCCCCCTTCCCCTGTGCTACACCGCCCAAACATGGTAACATAGCAGCGGCGAGGCATGATCAGTTTGCATGTGTGAGCGTTAGCATGTAATAATTGCACTGGAAAGGATATCACATATTTTCTCCTCATCACTTCGCTGTTGAGAGTATGCGTGCACAGCAGGCATTATAGTACTAGTAACTGGTAGCTTTCACACGTTACAGTTTCTGCATGAGGGGCGTAAACATGCAGTGAATTAATTTTCGTTATGTTACTTTTATCAAGCTTTACCTGCTGGGCAAAAATGTAAGCCGAGGGGCATAATTTCTAATAAACAGTAAACTAATGAATTTTTCTTTGGCAATATAAAATATAAACAGCAATTATAGTCGTAACATACACACCTGGCCACTGTCTTGTAGACAGTAAAGACATTGTTTTTTTTTTCTTTTTCTAAACGAAATAATTGATAGAGGATTCACGTGTTAGTTCAGACACAATTTCTTATCTTTCTGCAGGTGTGTATTTCTCATCACGTATCGAACAGGTGAAATTTGTGGACTTTTGTGGCAAGTACCGGCTGCCGTTGCTGCAGTACCTGTGTTCTCCTCGGTGCACGGTATCGCCATCTATGTGTGTCGGCAGCGAGAGAGTGCTGGATGAGAATGAGGCTGGAGCCAGAGAGAGGATGAGGCGGGTTCTGCTTGGGTGATTGGCAAGTTTGTGGGTGTGGCCATCCGTCACCAGTACTTTGTTTACAGTAATTCAGATGCAACTGGATTTTGGAAGCGATAAAAAAAATATTTTATGCAAGGTTGCAATAAAAAAAAAGTTAAAATGGAGCATGGATGTGACTAAAACCATGTTGTTCAGAAAGCAATAATTAACCTTTGTGTGACAGTGAAGGTTATTCAACGAATATAAGGCAACGAATACCAGGGGGTTTCAAAGGAAAACCTAAGTTTTTTTTTTTGGTCCTAAAAAAAAGTTGGGAACAAATGTATCATCTTTTTTGATTTGGTCCCACAGCAATCAGTGCAAGTCTTCCGAAACCGATAAAGTGCTTGGATTTCTGTAGACAAACATTCTCTTGGTTGTATGTGTAACAACTCATAACCACGTCATGCGCCACCTACTGTCCCTCTTTATTGGACCAAAAAGTCTTTCTTCCCAGTGACTCTTTGAGTTGTCCAAACAGGTGGAAATCTCTATCGATTGGGTGTGACATCACTGTGTTCGTCTACACTGATGTCACGATTAAGATCCTTAACAACAATGTCGACAGGTTACATGGCGATGGCATGGTTATTGTAATTTCTGTCACACTTTTAAGTTTCCATTTGATGGCCACTCGTAATTTCACATAGAAAAATGAATATTGCATGAGACTGGGATCGTCTCTGATTTTACTAACAGATGTTTCTCTCTGATGTTTCTTATCTGTTAGTGGAACTAAGAAACAGTAAAGTCTTATATCTTTCTGCTAGTAATGGTTGCACAGTGAATGCAAGATGCTCTGTCTTTCTGCCACAATATTGTCCTAGTACTGGTACACCAAACAGGCCCTGGATCATCAGACAGGCACTAAAATGGGAAACAAATGGGTCAAGGAAATAGAGACGTCCGAGAGAAAGTATTAAACAGATATTGAAAAGCATGGCCAAAAGTGCTTGGTTTTGTGAGTGCGCAGATGGCTGATACGGCCAATTCTAGCACTGAAAGTTTTTGAGCAGTGTAGACAGGGAATTGAGGCTGCATCTCTCTGATGATTTGCTTCAGTGTCTTTTCTGGCTTGTCTTTTCTGAATAGCTGCTATTTATACACTCTGTGTATTTATTTTCCACACATACCGCTCAGTGAGTTATATGTGTTTGATATTTTAGGTTTAGTGAAGGATTCTTAAATTTAAAAAAAACACAGACAAAATTTCTGTGTATTGTTTTTTTAATTTTTTTTAAAGGATTGGGTATTTGGCCCCTTTAGATGTAGTATGCCCATAAGGGATTGGTTATTTGGTCCCTTTGGAAGTAATATGCCCGTGATGGATTGGGTATTTGGGCCCCATGGAAGTAGTATACCAATGAGGGATTGGGTATTTGGTCCCTGTGGAAGTAGTATATCCATGATGGATTGGGTATTTGGTGCCTATGGAAGAAGTATATCCATGAGTTTGGTGTTGTCATTCTTGCCTCTCTCAGATATTAGCTAGAACCATCTGGGAGTGTAAGAGTCAGAATTTGGCCTGCTAGCCTATCTTATATTTTTGCCATTCTTGCCTCACTGCTTTAATATTTTATTTAATTCATGCAATATGTGTATGTTATGTTATGTATTGTTTGATAGAGATATCTGTGAATCTTTGATTGTGAATATTCAAACCACAGCTGCCCCATTCTCATGTGACACCCGTTTTAGAACCACTGTACAGTAATAGATTTTTAATGGGTAGGCACATGTTCTGTTCCCATTTCAGTCTGTCTGCAGATTGTGTTTATACCAGGTGACACAGGTGTCCAAGCAAGGAATTATGGGAAGGAAGCTATGTTTTATCTGTATGTTGTGTGACATTTTGAACTTAGTTTTGAATCAAGGAGTGGGAACTATATATTTTACAGATTACAATAGGCCACTTTCACAATACAATAAGGCTAATATAGATAGCTGGCAAAAGTCTACAAACACATTGTTTAACTCTTTGAGTCCCTGGGGGTTTATCATCAGAGGCCCAATGGGTGGTGATACAATTTTGTAATTTCACAAGTGTAATACATTAAAACAGACCATACTAATTCAACTGCCAGGCAACATACACAGATACATCAAAGTGACCAGGGATTGTTGGGGAATAATTATAGAAGACAGCTACAACAAATAAATGCGTTAGTAATAAAATATTAGTAAATAAACTGACGGTATGTTTACAAAAAGTAGTAAAATGCAATAAAAAATTTCCACTTACCACCATGGCACTCAAGGAAAACTGGTTAAAATATATCCAAAATAAATCACAAATGAATATGAACCACTTAGTAATGTATAAGTAAAATATAAACTCAATCTGTACATTAGATTTTGATCCAAAGAATCTTTTGAAGCATCATAACAGCACTATTTTTTGGTAAAGAAAACTGACTCCCAAAACAATAAGTATCTTCACACAAAACAAAGTTTACATAACACTCAGTTTGCCTGTAATTTTGTAGCTATGTTCCTAAATAATAAGGGGAATAGCACTAGAGCTAAATGACACTGAAGACAATCAGCTTTTCAATGTTTATTCTATTTGTGCCAGCTGACTTTGCTGTCATTGTACCCTTCGCATGAGGCACACATTAGTTAGACATCCCTCATCAAAGTTTGACTCTATAAATGACTAAAACACGTCTAATTCGCAACGTTATCTATCTAACTTCGGATAAATCGAATAAACACGTACTTTATTTAAATTTGAGGCTTCTAAAGCCGTAAATCATGTTGGCATGCATGAAGAATACTGCTTTGGCGGCCATATTCTTTTCAAACGTTTAAACAAACACTTAGTAGCTCGGCAAATCTCACAAATGTACAATATTTTCGGCTTTCAGACCACATTTCTAAATGAGCACACCTGATATCGGACACAAAGAACTCGAAAGGAAGTTGAAATTGAGCGGTCCACGTTTTATAACCAGTCAGTGGTAGATTAAAAACCTTTGCTTGTCACGAGTTGATTGGGCTGCGCAGTTGTAATAAATTAGTGCGTGATGCGTTTCCTGGGACACAAAGAGTGAATAATAGACTACAAACATTCCAAAAACGGTAGCTTCTCGGAAAAAAAAAGGGCTACAGGATATGAGAGCAATTTCAAGAGGGGTGTTGCGCAGTTTGGAACTGAGTGCATTTGTATTTCCAATAAATCTGTGAAATTAACTACCGTGTGTGTAAGATGAAGACTGAGCTATCCCCCAGTGTGCATACGTCAGAGGGGACCACATATACCTGAGCACATTCTGCTGGCCTGCTGCAGATATACGTACACCTACAAGGAGAAACCTGGCCTCAAGAGCAAAGTGTGCAGAGTAAACTATGGGGAACCATGGAGGACCTGCAGCTAACATGCAAGTTTAGAAGAGGCAACCCGCTTGATGGTCTGACCTCAGCATATGAAAACAGATGCCTAGAAGAAGACAAATTACCTGTTCAAAACTTATAGATATATAATTAAAAGGACACACTAGACAACATAAAAATCGAAAGCTACAGTTACCGTGCCAGGAATCGAACCTGTCACCTCCAGATGGCGTGTGCACTTCGCTTTGGAAACAGGCGTACTAAAAACATAGCCAAGTAGTGTCCACATTGGCCATATCTATCGTACAGCTTGAAACCCACAACTATGGAATATCTGTTCAAAACTTGCATGGATTCTTCAAACTCCTGGTAAACCACAGTTCCACATATTCTATCTTTAAATCTATATATTTAGTTCCTAGTGTATTTTTGTGCATATTTTTTGTAGGAACTTTCATATATTTAGTTCCCACGTTGTATTTTTATTCATTTTTTATGCAGGGACGTTTAACCTTGTGATATTTAATAATAACATAAAAAGCATTTCATCATTATTTTCTGTGTGGATTTTGTATATTTAGGTCCCATATGGTATTTTGTGAGAATTTTATATACACGTATTACAACGATTTCATATATTGTATGCTAAATGCTGATTCATTTAACTTTACAGCAACCAGTATTTTGTACGTTATTCTTTTACCATAACCCTAAAATTGTGCCTGCAGTTTCTTCTTCTTAATTTGTAAAATTGTTTTTTTTTTAATTCACGTTGTATTTATAAAATTTTCTTTTAAAATTCGTGTTGTACCTTTTTACAGCAGATCTGCTTATTTGGCAGAAACATCTAGCTTGTGTGGGCATTAACTGATAGGGTACACCTTCCTGTATGCATGCAGTTGAAAATTTGTGGATTTTGTGGTGAGAATACATCTTGAAGTGTAGCAGCACTTCTCAGAGTCTGTAGCATGTGGTGTTGGTAGGCATGTCTCTACACAGTTTTCTCTCTCTCTCTCATAGTCCCAGCCAGTTCTGACACAGATAATCCTTCATGCCAGCGATTCTCAACCTGTGGGTTGCGCCCCCTTTGGGGTCGAACGACTATTTTACAGGGGTCGCCTAAGACCATCGGAAAACACAAATTCACTAAAGTAGCAATGAAAATAATTGTATTGCTGGGGGGTCATCACAACATGAGGGGTCATCACAACATGAGGAACTATATTAAAGGGTCACGGCATTCAGAAGGTTGAGAGCACCTGCTCCATGCTATGATGACTGTCCAGCATCTTCTGTCTGTCTCTTTTAACCTCCAAATTTCCCACTGCCATGATGTACTCGTTTTCTCCTCATGAAATGACCAAAGAATGTAGATTGTCCCCTTTTGATGCAGGAATCAGTTTTTTTTCCTGAATTAATAAATTCATTTCAAGACATCTGTTATGTTGTGGCATTACTAGGTTCCATTGACAAGTTTTGTTTGTTTGTTCTTTGATATGATATATAAACTTTTATTCAACACATTAGAGTGTGTTTCAAAAGTTGCGCTTTCACATTTTAATAAATATTTAGAAAACTACGGATAAACACATTTGTGCATATGGCCTTAGATTTCCCATGTCTTTTTAATTTTACACTTTAAAATTACACAGGTGCTGTTGT